GCAGGGGTGTTGAACCTCTTTCAACCTAAGGACCAGATTCAGTTTTAGAAGTGCACTTCAGGGCCACATTTCATGCAGAGCAAGTCCAAAGGAAAATGGGATGACCCCAGGCTACTAACATACTTAGCTTAAAACCCTACTGCCAGTATTTAATCCTTAGGAGAAATAATTCACTCTTTAAGTATGAGGAAGAAATTGTGCAAATATATCAAGAGAGAAAGGTGGCTTGGATCTCTAGGGTTCAGGGCTCAATTAGGATCCCAAGACTGAGGTTGAACAATGAGTTTTATAGTGTCTGCCTTATTCTGTCTTAAGAATATCAGCTTATTGAAGGAATGTTACGAAGGGCCACTCTCTTCCACATGTTACCCTCCATGTTTCCCTATCACTTTTCCTGTTTTGTGTACTGTGGAAAATCCACTACAAAAGAAAAGATGGAATAGCTTGTAATTTTAAAAAATGTGTCACAAAATGTAGCCAAGCATCCCTTAAAGAAGATGTGATAAACCATGCTATTACAATTTTTGGATAAGCTTTTCAAAGGTCTATAATGCTATTTACTTGTATGTTATATAATCCTGTGTATTACTATATTGCAAAACATACTGCTGTTATTAAAAAAACATAAAATTCAGTGGAGGCAGTCCAATATCACTTTGGCAAGCCATCAGTGACAAAATTAACTCGCCTTTTCCCAAAAGAGTTGAATTCATTTATTTTCCCCCACCAAGAAATCAGCAAACTAGAACAGCATTGTAGAGGGCAGTTGTCTGTTTCTTACCATCTTTCTTTCTGAAACAAACTCAGACAGTGGATTTGTTTTTCTGTGTATTTTTTAACATTTTGTTGTGAGAAGGTAATATTCCATACGTAGCATATATCCATTGCATATCAAACTGGTCAGTCCTAGAGGAGATCAACCCTGACTGCTCTTTAGAAGGCCAGATGCTGAAGAAGAAACTCAAATACTTTGGCCACCTAATGAGAAGGAAGGACTCCCTGGAGAAGAGCCTAATGCTGGGAACAATAGATGGCAAAAGAAGGAGGGGATGGCAGAGGATGAGGTGGCTGGATGGAGTCACTGAAGCAGTCAGCATGAGCCTAAGTGGACTCTGGGGGGATGGTGGAGGATAGGAAGGCCTGGAGGAATGTTGTCCATGGAGTCACAATGGGTCATGTAACAACAGCAACAACAACTTGGTTCATTCTAAGTAGATATTTACAGTGGCTTTGAGAAAAATGGAAGCACGTGGTTGAGAAAAAATCCTGCACAAGAAGTGCTTTGGTATGCCCAAAAATTGGCAATATTTTGACTGCAGATAACTCAGTTCTGTGCACTGTTTGGCTCTTCTGTCTGTTTCCATGAGCAAAAGCAGACTGTTCACCATACTGTGCTACTCACGGTTTTCTTGGTTTTCTCCTCAGAGTCCTTGTCAATATTACACACAGTGCCACGGGCTACCATTCCAAGACAATACGTTTTTTGCATGTGGCCTTTGGTGGATCTGGAGATTCACTGCTTGCTGGAGACCATCAAGGGAATATTTATGTTTTCGACCTGGTGGGCAACAGGTAAGTGCTATTTGTTTATCACTTGTTTAAAATGCATGAACTCCAAGGTGCGGGGATGCTTGCATGAGATGGAGGAGTGAGCTTTCTCAAGATTTCCTCTCTCGTCCCAGTAAATTCCTGCCCACTACTTTGCATAGGCACAGTCCTGAAGCATAACCATTGCAGGCTGCTCACCCATGGAAAGGAAAGGGCCAGCAGAATGGCTCTCCTCTTGCCCTGCAGCTCCTTCTGCCCTCCCAGGGATGAGCACTGAAACTGAACCTGGAAATACTTTCTACAGGCAAAGACATGAACCCGCAAACATGTCAGTATAGAATCAAGCAGGGTTTATTCTGGCACATCCTCTATTCCGGATTTAGTTTACCCACCCCTTCAAGCCATCTGCTTCATGACCTGTACATTTCCAAGCAATAGAAACCACCTGCTTCATCCCATCTGCCCTAGAGCAGGGATGAACAGAAGGTAGATTTCCAAATGTTTGGGAGTTCAACTGCCAAAAGCCCCTGCCAGTATAGCTAATGATCAGGGATGCTAAGAGTTGCAGAGGGGAAGAAAGCAAAGGGCAGTCCTGTTGAACAAGCAGAAGTCCATGTGTGTGCTGCTGGTTCTAACCGCCACTGTTTCCTCACAGTGTCTAAAATAACATTTCAAATCATACTCCATTCTTCTGGAGATAATTTCTTTCTTGACAAATGAGGTTATCCTGCATTTCACAGGGTTCTATTTTTGGCTACTGTGCAAAGAGGTCATGAAATCTTCCAAAGATCACACTTAGGGGCGTGAGTCTTACTGACAATTATTCTGTTGGGCTGGGTGGTGGATGTGAATTCCTCTTGTCCTCTGCAGGAATAATTTTGATTTGTTCAAACAGGTTCAGCCTGGTTCAACGAACAATGCAAGCCTGTACTGCTCTGGCATTTAATCTCCGTAGAAAAAACGAATTCCTTGTGGCTTTGGCTGATTATTCCATTAAATGTTTTGACACAGGTAATAGGCACATGCTTATAAAACTTTGACTACATACAAATGGCTGCTTTTGTCTTTCATACCTAAATAATTTTTAACTAAAATTTCCTTCCAAATAGTATACAAGCCTCTGTGTCAGTCATTGCAGAATAAGCTCCCTTTCTTGTTGCAAATTTTTCTTAAAAAATCTGAAAGTGTGAAACCAAACACAAAATCATAAGAACCAGGCAGGTGATGTCTCACTTAAAACAAAGAGGGAACCTCTGGGCTAAAAGGATTGTCTGATATTTACTTAGCATTTATCCTTAGAATGGACACCCTAGAACTGGAAAGATAATAGTTTTCATCCTTTGAAAGATAAAAGATCCTATGCATGACTACCCAGAAGCCAACCCTGCTAAGTTCAGTGGGACTTGCTGTCATATAGGGATGCAACCTCAAGCACTTGGAAATTCTGTTTATGCTGGTACAGGAAAAATAAGCTGCCCCCACCCTGCCCAATCCTTCAGCCCATCTCTGAATGCTCTGGTGCCCCTAGCATCGCAGAAATCCCACCAACACATACACCAATTTCTCACTAATGGTGCTGTTGCTGCCAGCAATCCAAATCAGTATAAGAATCTCTGTGGGAGGAAGCAAAAGGCCTCGGTGGCTTTCCCCCCAGTACTTTTAGCAGTGAGGAAAGAACTGTCTGTATCCACACCAGTGGCATCTGTGTGTGCCTTTGCATGCATGTGTGCTTACAGCCCCTGAGCAAGCCTCACATGCAGGCCTTGGGGCTGAAAAGGCAATTTCAGCAGACACTGTTCCAGTGAAGCCAATGGAACTTATAAGGGGCTGGATCACATCCAAAGTATCCAACCTTCATCCTTGTTCAGAAGGTATGTCAGAAGGGTGTTTTAGGTTCCTAAAGTACAGGGAACTATGAACTGCTGAGTTTTTTAAACATATGAATGCTCATACTTTATATCTGAGTCTTTCTTGGGCCTCACAGGGGTCTCCCACTCAGAAGATTGCTGGAGGCTCACAGCTGCTTAGTTTCAGTAAGCATCTGACCCATACTGAACCCACTCTTAGTCTCCTGTGCAGAAGTATTGTACAGAACATGTATACTTTTACTCAAGCCGGATTTACTGTAATTTCTAATGTAATGGTTGCTTAGCTTTCAGGTTCCTGTTACTCCTAGCATATATTCACACCATCTCTGTAATCAATGATCTGTTTTCTGATGATGCAGCTACAATAATGCCTTGGTTCTTAAGTCTTACCATTTTGATGTCTTCGTTACTACTGCAGATACCAAAGAGCTTGTTAGTTGGATGCGAGGGCATGACTCTTCAGTGTCCTCAATCTCAGTTCATGGGTCTGGTCGATACGCCATCACATCATCAGTGGATACAGCCCAGCTTTGGGACCTTGACACATTTCAGCGGAAAAGAAAGCTGAATGTTCGGCAGTCTGTTGGTATCCAGAAGGTCTGTATTTAAATATTTCTCCTTTGTCACGTTTGTCGATTTTTATTCTGAAATACAGAACAATTTGAATTACTGTCATCCTGTGAGAGCCAAGGCTCTCACAAGCCAAGCCAAGATGATGGTAAAGTCACCTTTGAGCTTTTTAGACCCAGGCTGCAACTTGACCCGATTCTTTACAATACTGTATTGTATTGTGTTGATGGTGCTCTTACCCGAGCTTAGACTGTGATCCAGTAGTTGGTTACTGAAGACCAATTGCTTAGATTAGGAATTGGGAACATGTCGCCCACAAGACTTATACAGTCACCCTGCAGTCCACCTTCTTGGCTCACTGCAACAGTTAGTTTTTTTTGTTTTGTTTTTTTGTAAAAGCCTCCAATTGGACCCAGTACATGACTTGTTTCACGTCAAATTGAATTCAAGTCATGGGATCCTCTTTGAGGGGAGGGCTTTGCCTATCCACTGGCATCCACATTCAGCAATTTCCTTGCAAGAGGATGTGGGTTTTCTGGATGGGAAGGATTCCTGGCTCCCAATCAGCAAGCCTAACCTGGAAAGTTTTATAAGAGGCTGGACAGTTCCACTTCATTTGCTCCAGCCCCTGAAGAGCTTGCTTGACATCTGGCGGATTTCCGTTCGTTCAGACTTGAGCCCTTTGTGACGCGCCTCATTTCCCAACACTTGCAGCACTTGCCTGGCTTGCTCATGTGATGTTGTCAGATGACAGAAATGTGAGAAATCGGGGGGCTTCCTGCACATATACTGGAATTTGAAAAACCATTTTTGTTATGGGTTAGAAGTGGTTTAGCATGTTTGTTATGGTATAGAAAGCTACTTGTTTTAAAATATATTTTCCAGGTAATCCTCCCTGTGTTTTCAGGTTTTCTTCCTTCCACTCAGTAACACTATTCTCAGCTGCTTTAAAGATAACTCCATCTTTGCCTGGGAGTTTGATACTCTTCGCTGCAAATACCAGCTGCCCTCACCAGTAGATGGTTCTTCATTGCGCTATAAAGTTTTTGCTGTTACAAGGTACATTACCATCTTCAAGCATGCAAATTTCCAAAGAGGCAGTACTTAGATTTAAATGTATTTATTATTTATTTTATTTGAAACTTTTATATGCCATCCCTTATGCATAGCATCTCAGGACGGCTTACAATCATTAAAATCAAAATACAATGAAACCATCTATAACAATATAATAAATAACATATAACCAATACAAATAAATTAAATAAAAAGTGACTGTTAAACATTAAAATACTAATTTTTAAAATAACGATTAAATAAAAAGGTTTTGACCTGGCGCTGAAAAGAGTATAAGCTCGGCGCCAGGCAAACCTCTCCAAAGTTCTCTCCAAAATTAAATGTTTCAGTTTATTAGGGTAATGATTTATTAAAGTATCTGTGACTTGTGTGTGTGTGTGTAAACATATCTTGAAACTAAATCCAAACTAGATATTTATTTTATTTTTTTATTTATTTAGAGGACTTCTATGCCGCCCCATTTGCCGAAGCCTCGGGGCAGCTCACAATCATATATAATGTTGGAGGAATGGTATTGCACCTAATTAGGGTCCTGAAATGCTGAAACAGGAGCCATTGTTTTATGAAAGAGCTTTAAGTGTTTCATTGAATCTGCTGGAATCTTTTCTGGCTTGTCGTTCCTTTTTTTAAAGCCTGGCCTGCACATTGTGGCAGTTTTCTCTAACCTGCTGCCCTGAAGGTGTGTTAAACTGCAACTTCCATCATTCCCAGCAAGCCTGGCCAATCAACCATGAATAGGGGATTTCCGTTCGCAATGGAGATGGCCAGATTAATGACAACTATGTCTTGTTTTGGAGTACAGAGATGGCCGTGTCCTTGTAGCTGGCGGCAAATCAAATCATCTTCACTTGTGGTGTTTGGAGTCTAAGCAGCTGCTAAGAATAATCCAGATGCCGACCAAAGTGCGAGCTGTTCGCCACCTAGAATTCCTTCTGGATAGCTTTGATGGTGGCTCTAATCAGGTGGGTGGTGGAGTTTGAAGCAAAGGAGCCAAAGGGTGTGTCCTCAACTCTTGAGAGCTGACGTTTACTTCTTCTTCCTGAAAGGAATTAGGAAGCCTGTGGCTTATTGATAAAATGAAACTAAATCAAACTGCAGTTATCCAGTGGCTGAAAGCAACTCCATCTGGAATTGTTTAGCTTAGGAAAAAAGGCGAGTAAGGGGAGTCGTGATAGAGGGGCACAAAATTACGTGTGGTGTGGCGAAAGCGCTTGGGGGACATTCTCTCCTCCTTTCATAATAGCAGAGCCCAGTAGGGTCACCTGGTGAACAGGTTGGTGGGAGAGGAAGGGCTTCTTCACATAGTTAAACTAGGGATGTAGTGATGGCCACTACTTCGGAAAGTGACTGGACAAATTTGTGGAGGGTTAAGGCTACTATTCCTCATGGTCATATGCCCCCTTCAGCATCAGAGGCTGTATGCCTCTGCATACTAGTAGCTGGGGAACATGGGCAGTGGGGTGCTGTTGCACTTGTGTCCTGCTTGTGGGTTTCTTGTAGGCAGCTGGTTGGTCTGAATGGAACTGTAGACTCGATGGACCTTTGGCCTGATCCAGCAGGGCTTTTATTTTCTTATGTTCCCTTTTGCATCCAAAAAAGTTGACTTCTTAAGCACACTGGAATTCAGAATTGCTGATTGTTAGTCGACCCCATCTTTGTACATTCCTGCACAGAGTTGGCTCTGGTTGTGCCTCCCAGCCTGAAAAAGGCAAGCCTCAAACTGAAACTGATGCAGAGGTATGGCAGGCAACACCCTTCAAAGGTGGGTACTTCTGCTGTATATCTGTATTGGGATGGGTTGAATATTCTAACCACACCTAATACAGAGATGCTTCAGAGTTACGTGATCTCAGGTAGATGATAACTAGAAGAACCCATAGGCAGCCTTTCTCCAGTCTGACTCTCTGGCACACCCAGAGAGGTTTGATCACTTAAGTTTGATTCAAGATAGGCTGCCCATCAGCATGATCTCATTCATTTTCCAGTGTGTTCTTGCAATATGAAACTCCAATAGGGCTGATGTGGCATAATGGTTAGAGTTCTGGATCAGAACTGTGGCGAGCCAGGTTCAAACCCCATCTCTCCCTGGGTGATTTTGGACCAACTATTATCTTCTGTCCTTGCTTGGCTCACAGAGTTGTTATCTGGTCACATGATGTTGATTAAATATAATAAACATTGCTTGTTTGATTAAATGCTTATTATAGAAGCTTTTTATTCAAAATAAAGGCAACTGCCAGCTTTTATACAACCGAACCACAAGACACACATTATTAAGCAGTCATTAAGTCTAACACTAAAATCTTTCAGAATATAACAAACCATGTTAATCATCTAAAGATGCAGATAGATAAAACTTCCTCGGCTTCCCACAGCCACTTTTTACCTTGTGTGATCTTTGATGGTCCCCTTCACTGTCACACCTAGTTTGGCCCCAGTCACCTTTGCTTGACCCTTGTGAATGTTTTTGCGTAATCCAGAGGGTTATCATTCCAAGGCTAAAAGACATTGCTTAAAAATAGATCACCCAATTTTTAAAATTCATAATAATTCTGGACAAAAATGGATTGCAGGTAGCAGTGCAAGAAATCCTTTTGATAAGTAGCTGTTTGTTATTGCACAAGCCAAATGAAGATCCTTGATCACAGATTGTCCTCTTTGAAACATTAGAGCCAAATTGCTTTCTGCTTTCAGTAGAAAAATCTTCTAGAGCCAAATTGACTTTCTGACAGGGAATTATTCTGCTAACTGTACTATGGTTTCGTTTGCTTACTTGGCTGCAAAAATCAGAAGAATGTTTATACATGCAAATTCTAGCCTCCTTCAATTAATTGGGCTCCATGTGCAGAACAATTGTTAACACTGGGAAGCAATCCTGTGGCCCCTGGAAAACATCTTTTGGACCACAGAATATTGTGGATTCCCAGCTCAGAGGTCAGGTAGCACTCGGCCTCAGAGCTTGAAATCAGAGCTCCAAGCCGCCCTCCTTGCAGCTGGTGCAGAAATAAATATGATGGCTGCCTCAGTGCTCGCTCAGAGAGGACTGAAAGGGGGCATATCAGGTGGGGGCAGAACCAGAGAAAGCAGGATACAGGCTCATCCTGGGGCCTCTCTAGCTCCCTTCCCTCCTCCACTGAAACCTTTTGCTCAAATCACCTCCACCACTCTCCCCCCATCCCCGCCCATGTAGGATGATCATAAGGTGCCAAGCTAAGCCTGCAGCTAACAGGATTGTGCTCTTAATAAAGTATTTTATTGCTCCTTCTTTTCTTTCCAGGTGCTTGGAGTGCTGAGCCAGGATAACATCCTGCGATTTATCAACATACGGACATGTAAGCAGCTCTTTGATGTCGGCAGTCACGAAGAGGGAATCAGCACAGCTACCATGAGCCCCAATGGAAGATACATTGCGGCCGTAATGGAGAATGGCAGCCTTAACGTGTATAGCATCCAGGCCCTGACACGAGAAGTGAATAAGGTAAAGGTCTGGTGTGTGCGGATTGCCATCAGTAGCCCCGAGGGCAAGTCATTCTGGAGGTGTGGGCCCACTGCAGAAAAGACCTTCCCTTGTGTACTTGTCTACCTTACTTCCTTCAAAAGCAAGCGAGGACTTCTGCTGCTGATCTTAAAATGTGGGCTGGCTGATGTGGGAAAAGGTTATTTCAGGTAATTTGGTCCCAAACCATTCAAGGTTTTAAAAGTGAAACCATCACTTTAAATTGCTGAAACATGCTGACCCATTGCAGCTGGCGCAGTAAAGGCATCATACAGTTTGACCACCTTGGCCGCACTAACACTCAGGCACTTTCTGTACTAGCTTAAGTTTCTGAACTCTTCAAAGGCAGACCCATCCGGTGCATTACAGTAGCCTGGCTTGAGTGGCATTAGTGCATGGATAATTGAGACCACGTCCTCCCTTTCTAGATAGGGCCATAGCTGGTGAATCAGGCTAGACTGGTAAAGGACACTCCTGGGCACTGTGGCTACCTGAATTTCCCCAGTAAGCACAGAATCCAGGTAGACTCCCACAGTATGTACCTAGTGCAGCCCCACATAAGACCTGTTGTAAACTCCCATCTGGAGTAGCTGGTTTCCCAAACCATAGTACTTCCATCTTGCCTGGCTTAAATCTCAGCATGTTCACCCTCATCCACCCAAGAGCCACCAGACACGGGTGCAACGCCTCCCTGGGATGTGTAGGTGCAAATGAGTACTACAGCTGGGTGTCGCCTGCATATTGATGACACATCAGCCCAAACCCCCTGTGGTTTCCTGTAGAAGTGAGAAAGTTGTGGCATCCCACAAGCTCATGCCCGTGGCATGCAACAAAAGCCCCCCAGCACCACCTGCTGGGGCTGCTGCACAAGGATCCCTCAGATCCATCCTTCTGGGCAGTGCAATCAGCAAAAGTGCTGGCCATGGCCCAACCCATCTGGAGAGCACCAGATTCTGGATGGCTGGTTTAAACAGTGGTGGGGAACATGTAGGCTTCTCCTGAGATTTTGGACTCCCTGTAGCATCCCTTATCCAAGCACTGGAGGTTTTTCAGCCAGTTGCTTGAATCTTTTGCTTTCCAGCCACCCCCACCTCTGTTTAAAGTGATCGAAGAGTCCTCTAAAGACACAAGCACACTCACCATGCGAGTGACATCGAGGACCTCGGTGAGGCCACGGAAATCAAAAGGAGGCAAAATCCAGGCCAAGGTGTTAAGGCCACAGCCAGACATGTCACATGAGGACAAGGAGGTAAGTCTATATGTCAAGGCCTGACAAAGACTTGATGTTTGCAGCAAACAATCCAAATCAGTCCCTGACCAATAGGAGCTGCCACATTGCATAAAAACAAATGTTGCACAAGAATCCACCTTGCTTTCTGTAACATTGTCTGGATTCTCCACATACTTTTGTGCTGTCTGCATCCCTCACTAATTTCTGTGAGACTTGCTAAGGAGAATGTCCCAGAGGACTAAATCTATTTATTGTCTGGACTGTAGCCCTAAATGGCATCAGAGTTTGAGCCCAGAGTTTGCTGCCTCGGTTTGCCTGCAGCATAGGACTGTCTCTAAGACGTTTCAGTGAGGAACTCTTTTTTTTTTTTAATTCTACTGCGTGGTGTAGCAGTTAGTATGGTCTGGTCTGGTCCATATAAAAAATCTGGCTCAAAGACTTAACACATCAGGACATAACAACAGCTCTGCTGGATCAAAGCAAGTTTCCAGCTAGTCCAGAATTCTGTTCACAGGTGTGGCCAATCTTTTGCCCACAGGATCCCACAAGCAGGGCATGAGTGCAATGGAATCCTCCCACCCGTGTGCCCAGGCAACTGGTGAACGGGGCAGACTGCCTCTGATATTGGAGGCGGCTTCTAGTCACCAGGACCCGTAGCCATGAATAGTCTTCTCCCACATGAATTTGCCCAGTCCCCTTTTAAAGCCATCCAAACTGATGGCCTTCACTACCGCCACTGCCAGTGAATTCCATAATTTAACTATGTGGTATGTGAAGCACTTCATTTTATTTGTTCTAAATCTCCCTCAAATCAAACTTCATAGGATGATCCCATTTGGTTCTGGTATTATGGAGGAGGGAGAGGAATAACTCCCCCCCCCACACCATGCATCATTACATGCCCCTCCATCATGTCTCCCCTTTCATGCCCTTTTTCCAAGCCAAGCAGTTGCAGTTGTGACTTCTTTTTAGGGGAGTTGCTGCAGCCTTTCGATCATTTTGGTTGCCCTTTTCTGTGCTTTTTCCAATCCTACAGTACCCTTTTGTAGTTGCAGCGGCTTACGTTCCTCCTCCCTCCCCCTCCTTTTTTCCTCATGTGTCATGTCTTTCAGATTGTAAGCCCATGAAGAGAGACAGTCATGTCACTGGTCTTTGTAAGACACCCTGGGAACCATTTTGGCTAAAGAGTACAGTAAAAGCACTTTAAATAAATACGCTGAAAATCAATAGAAGATGTTGACATATGATAATAGAAGCCTGGAGAACAGGAAAGTGGGGTAACTTGATCATAATGAGGAACAGAAACAGGTGACGTGAGCTATGAAATTCAAAGTCATGGAAAAAGTTTTGAGAGAAGAGACAGAAAGGCTTGTGCAGAAGAGTCATGGTAGTTGGTGCAGGAAATCACCTTGTTGCTCCTATCCTAGAACGAGCTGCCAGAGGGACTGAACAAGAAGCGGCTGCAGGCCTTGCTGAAGGGATTTGGGGAGTATCCGGCCAAATACAGGTGTGTGGGGCATGTGTCAATTCCAATTTCTCGCGTTCTGCTCCACTAAGCAAAATTGCATATCTCTGAAATCTGCCTTGCAATTACAGGATGTTCGTTTGGCGGTCCTTACTTCGCCTTCCGGAAAACCACTTGGCTTTTAGCAGCCTGCTAGATAAAGGAACCCATTCGGCCTTTATGCACCTTCAGAATGATTACCCGATTAGAAGCAGAAAGCTCTTGAGAGTCTTACAAAGGTAAATGCGGGCATGTCCTAGGTGGGAAAAGCACGCTGCAGTTCCTGCTGCAGCTAATCTCATATTCACTGGCCAGCTGAGTGTATTAGCCTGTTCATTCACCCTGAGATCTTGGCAGCGCAGCGGATGGCTGGAGTTGCAGCACCAACCCATCTGGAGGGCTGCAGGTTGGAAATGCTCCCTGTTCCTTAATCCTTTCAACTGGAGGCGCCCAGAGTTGGACCCTTGACCTTCTGCAAATGATGTACTGATGATCCAAAGCTTGTTCGTGCAGCAGATTCAATCCAGTTTGGAAATTGAGGGCCGGTGTGGTGCAGTGACTAAGTGTAGAACTGGGACTCAGACGATCTGGGTTCGAGTCCCCGCTCAGCCATGGAGCCAACTAGGTGACTTTGGGCCAGTCACACTCTCAGCCCAACCTACCTCACAGGGTTATTGTGAGGACAGAATTGAGAGGAGGGGGATTATGTAAGCCACCTTGAATTCTTTGAACGGAAAGAAAGGGAGAATACAAATTGAATGAATGAAATTGGACTGAGAAGGGCTTAAGCTACAAGTGCTAGTGCCTTGGATGAGGCCCAGAAGTTACCGCAGCCCAAGAACACTGTCTTGCTGTGCTGCCATAGTCTGTGTGACGTGCGAAATGGCTCTGAATGGATTTAGGCAGTCACTGTGAATGGAACAAAGTCTCCATGTGGCCGCTGTTATGGTCCCTGTCTAGTTAGCTTCTAGCACTTCTGCGTTGCTTCCTGATGAACAGCTTCTGCAACTTTTTTACCTTTTCCTCATTACCATATTTTTTCTAGTAAGAAAAGGGAAGAAGCAGTGAGAAAACATAAGGTAACAAATAGAAGGTGTGGTCACCTGAACCTCCTGTAAAATTATGTGTTTAAGAAAGGACAGTTGCACACTAAAAGCTCCACCTGGAAGCATCCCTACTTTGAGTGGCCCAATTTTGGGCATTTCCAAACAAACACTCTTTGATGCCATCCTTTTAAAAGGATCCCAGACTCCAGCGCCTGACTTTATAGGTCAAGCCTTTGCTTCATCAGTTCTTTTTGCCAGTGTTTTGTAAGCAGCTTCTCTCTGTGTTCAGGACATTATCTGCCCTCGCTCACTGGTCTACCATCTTTGGCGAGATGCCCTACGTTCCTCTGCTGGCCTTCCCTTTTGTTAAGCTCTTCCAGAACAATCAGCTCATCTGCTTTGAGGTGGTTGCTACTGTAATAGGTAAGGAAGGTTTTTCAAAGCTGAAACCTTATTTGCACCCCTGAGTAATGGAGGGTTCTTCATACCATGGTAGATTTGATGCTGTGCTTTAAGTAACTTCCAAGAGGCAGCCTGCACGTAAGTATGTATATTTATTTTGCAGGGCCTATATTGCCTTTCATACAACATGGGATCACAGACAATGTACACAGCATTTGCTAAAACATAATCAATTTTTAAAAATCACAAAATTACCTGTTAAGGAGAAACTCCTTCCAACCAGAAATCCAGCAAAAAAATAATGATCAATTAAATTAAAGTAAATAAACTATGAGCAGGATGGGGGAAGGAACAATGTAATTTGATGCCAAAAATAAAAACCAGTTGATCTCCTTTGGAAGGGCATTTTGAAGCCCACACACAACTACAGAGAAGTCAGACAAGGTGCCAGAATCTTTCCTACACAGAATTGTACATCTCGTACAGCTGTAGAATTTAGCAGCCTATCAAATGCTATCATTCGTGCCCACAGAGATGCTAGTGTGTTTTGGGAAACTGCAAGGTTTGCAGAAGCTTCATTTTAAAAAAATCAAAGAGGGGAAAGCCCATCAAGAACAGCCCAATGAGTACCAAGAACACTCAGCAAGCCCAGAGAACTGACTAACTGTGGAGCAGTGGGAGAATTGAAAACTGGGGAGAGGGAAATGCAGTGGAGCATCCAGACAGAACATGAGTATTCTGTAGTGTAACATGTTGCAGGTCCCACATGCAATAACCAACCCTGGAAATAGAGCAGGTTATCAGTTTGGCTTCCGTTCAAGGACTTCTTTTAAAAATCGGGTCTTCCCCAGGCCCTGGAAGGCATGTTGGCAGCTTTCCCTGACCTGGTATGCTTCAGACCTGTTGGGCAACAAGTCCTGGCAGTCGTGTGATGGTGGGAGAGTCTGGCATGTGTGGAGGCACCTTGTTGAGGGAAGCTGGCACATAGTGATGGACCTTTGCTGGGAGGGCAGTCCAGCACAGTTGGCAAGGACTGTGTCCCTTTGGGTCATGGGAAGCCCTGGGTGGTGGGGGATCCAGTTTGGAGCGCAGGTTCTGGGTACAGTGCACAAGAGAGTGCATATAGGAAAAGCACTGGGTCCCCATGAGCATGAATTGGTGCTAGGGGACAAAAGGGCCAGATGCCTTTTCACTTCCATGTTCTTGTTCGCAGAGAAATTAGCTGCTGTTGCTTCTTTCCTTGATTTAGTGAATTGGTGTCAGCACTGGTTCGAGTTCTTCCCAAATCCTCCAGTCAATGTCCTCAGCATGGTGGAAAATATCTTGGCACATCATGACAAAGAACTGCTCCATCATTTTATGAATTATAATATAACATCACAGGTAAAAAAAATACAGGCATAGCATACAAGCATCAGGCATCGTCTAATTATTCTGGCCATGAGCAGTAATGGGATAAGATGGACGGCCACTGGCCCAGAGTGACAGGAGCTGAGCTGTATTTTCACCTGAAGTTCAACTTTGATTGATGGCTGCTCTTTATTTCCTTATTATTTTGGTCTAGAGAATTATTCATTTGCTTCTCTAGGCCCATAATGATCATTCTGGGAAAGAGCTTGTGTGTTGCTTGCTTCTGAGCAGAGCTGCAGTCCTGTGCCCAGCTAGTTTAATTACAGAAGTTTCAGTGGTTGTCCTCAAACAGTGTTTTTGCACTGCAGGCCTGGGTATGCTTCCCTGGGAGTACATTAAGACTTCCTTCTGAATAAGCATGTGTATAATTCCATTGTTGATCCCATTGATGGACCAGCTCTGGTGGGAGGATGGTTCACCACTTCTTCAAACTAAAGTATTGTTATATCCTACAGTTGCCAGTTAATTTAGCACAGTTTCTCAGCATGCATGAATGAAAAAAGAATTTATTTTAAGCATTTTTCTGTTTGTCAAGTTGCTTGTGATCAATACAAATTACTCAGTCCCTACCTCCAGGTTTACAAGGAAAAAGATGTGAATGAAATAGAGGGAGAGGGAAGAGGAAATGAACAAACTCAAGCAACAAGCTTTAAATTTAAGTAGTAGTTGCTAAGACGATGTAGCTGATCTCTTAGCAAAGCTGATGGGATGGACCTGGTTCCCATCTTCCTCTGAGGCAGAACTGTCCTGGTTCCTGGAGCACTGGGTTTCCCCTCTCCACCAAAGACCTGAGAAGAGACACTGCCAGTTGAAGGTGTCAGTAGTGGAATTGACAAGGGGACTATCACTTTTTACGAGACAAACTGTGAGGGTGTTTAAAAATAGAAGCCATCTTCTGTGCTTAGGCTTGTCAAATGTTGCTGCATTCAGGATGCAACGATCGCTAACTGACTTCTCTGTGTGTCTTTAGGTATATGCCTGGCCTCTTCTGGAAACTGTGTTCTCTGAGGTTCTGACGAGAGAGGAATGGCTGAAAATGTTTGATAATATCTTTTCCAACCACCCTTCCTACTTTCTGATGGTAGTTGCAGCGTACATTATATGTTCCAGGGCTCCGTTGCTTCACTGTAATCAAAAGGATGACTTTGAGGTTAGCATTTTACTAATCTAAGCCAGGGATGGATACCTGTATTTGTAGCACCCAGAGAATTTCTGAGAGCTGCTCTGAAATTGAATTTGGTCCTTGGGATGCAAGAGTTGGATGCCCCTGTGCTGAATGGGCACAAACAACAGGCAGCGGGAACACTGGTGACTCTATTGGTGGGAGACATACTGCCATCTTTCCTGTGATGAGCTCAGGCTACCAGATGTCTTTCTCAGTCATCATCAAAGTGATGGGACACAGCCTTTCTCAAGGAAAGAGTTGGCATCCCTGAAAATGTTGGGTGTTACAGTCTTTTGGAATAGTGGGTGCTGACTCTCCCATGGGTTTCCTGTTAATCAGCAGGATGTGGTGCAGGATTGCAATTTTGCATGAAGTTATCCTGTGAGTTGACCAACCAGCATAAGAGTCTCCTTGTCCATCTGTTTTTTTAAAGAGGCAAATGCAGGCTTCTCTTCTGTTGCAGTATTTCTTCCATCATCGGAACAACCTGGATATCAATAATGTGATCAAAGAGGCCTACCACCTCATGGAGTGCACCCCAGCGGACATCCATCCACGCCATATGCTGGATGACTTTGTGCCACTAACCAAGGGGCAGTACCCAATATTCAACAAGTATCCCCAGTTCATTGTGGATTACCAGTCTCAAGAGCGGGAGCGAATCAGGCAGGACGAAATTGAGTACCTAAGAGAGAGGTACTGATGGCAGCAGGGGGACTGGGGGCCTCTTCTTTGGGCCTGATGGAAAGATGAATGGCAGTTCTGTTTGTTGTTGGGCTGGGGACTGAGGATTGGAGTTGAAGATGATCTCACTCAGACCCCTGAAGGAGGACTTGGACATTTGCCCACACACATCCTAATTAGCAGATCAGGCATGTTATGGTCTAGGGAGGGAGAAGAAGTCTGTGTTTTGCTTCACATATCTGGACTAGTTTACAGTGAAGACACTCTTTAAATCTCGCTGAGCCAAGCCTGAATGTGAAGCAAAAGCATTCCAAACAAATAATAGTTTTGTTCTCTGGTTCACCATCTCTAGTTACATACCGTCAAGACACCTTCAACTCATGACGAATGAATATGCTCCAGAGTGGTAGCCCTACCACCTTTTGTAAGGCACATGAGAGCCCCTGTATTGTAGTGATTAAGAGTGCGGGTCTGGAACTCCGGAGATCGGAGTTCTAGTCCTCACTCATCCGTGGAGGCAACTGAGCAACTTTGGGCCTGTCATGGACTCACAGGCCAACCTACCTCAGAGGGTTGTTATGGGAATAAGATTGAAAGCAGGAGGAGGAGAATGATGTAAGCTTCTTTGAATTCTTTTTTTTAAAGGTGGTATATAAAAAAATAATATGTATAGCCTTTAAAGTAAGTGGCATGAATAGAAAAAAGGCAACAAACCACCTCCTGTGAAGTCTCCATTTCTTTGGAGCACGTTGGCAGCCTTCTTTTATCCGCAGCTGCAGTTTATACTAAATTTCAGGCCTGTGGCCCACATGGGAACCCAATTTTGTCCCTTGGGTTTCCCCAGCTGCTGATCCTTTGGTGGCTTTCCAGCTCCTGTGCAGTGTTCTTTCCCATTCGGAAAGCGTGAAATGCCTCTCCTAAGGCTGAGTTACAGGTAGGAAAAACTTGAAGCTGCATTTGCTGGCATTTTGGCCCTGCCCCTTTGCCTGTGGCAGCTTCTGAGACCTTCTCTGCAACTGAGTTGGCCCTCAGGCTGAAAGAGGTTTGGCACCCTTGGCCAGAGGACATACCTGAAGGTTGGAGAGTCAAAGAGATTAAATACCATTTCCTCCTCTGACTGCACGCATTGTAGAATTGCTTGAACGCTGCTCGAGATTGTGATGCATGGAATCATCCTGTGCAGGCAGTTGGTTCAGGAGATAGAAGCAAAAGCAGTGGAGCGCCAAGTGGACGATGAAACCTGGTATCGGAAACAAGAGCTGCTTCGTGAGGCTGAGGAGCAAAGGAGGAAGATCCTGCTCAAGGAAGAGGAGAAGCTAGCAGAGCAAAGGCGGAGGTATTTCGTGTTTTAGCATCTTTGGGTCCTGACTGTAGATGTCTTTATGAGCTTTACTAGAAGGAATGCTCTTTCTGGATAGTTTTGGTTTTGATTGATTGATTGATTGATTGAGTCTAATGCTTCCCAAGAGGCAACAGATCACAAATGTTTCATTTGTTCCTGCCTGTATTATTTCCTGCTGGGGTTTTGAAGGCTAGCTGCTGTGAAGAGAGAGCTGAAAGTGAAAGAGTTGCAGTTGCTGGAAGCCACAAGAAGGCGCTTTCTGAAATACCAGCAAGACCAGCGGGAAATGGAGCTCCGACGACTTGATGATGAAATTGCAAGAAAGGTAACCTGTTCCCATTTGGAGAAGTGAGAGTGATGGAAGCATCGGCGTCGGGTTGGCTTGAACCAGTGCTGTGCTTGGTTCAGCACATTCTCTTCAGCAAGCAAAATGATTTGTAAAGTTATGACTGCCTCCAAATTGGGGCAACTTTAAGAAGGGATTAACTCAAGAGTTAGGCTGTCCATGGCTGCCAGGCACCATGGCTCTGTATGACTTCCAGGCTCAGGACAGTGGACAGTGGGACACTAGCAGGAGATGCTACTCCACTCTGGTCCTGTTCATGGGCTTCCCACAGGCAGCTGGTTGGCCCTGGCCTTGATAGTACTTTAGGCTGATCCAGCACAGCCTGCTTATGTTCTTGATGTTCTCTTAGCAGATTGCAGATTGCAATGTTTAGAAACATGGCAAGGAACTGACTGAGATTTGTGGGGGCAGTATCCTATTCAGCTGAAGTCCCTGGGCCGCCTCCTGTCCCCAGCCTCTGCCTTTACACACTTAGCATCATAGAGCAGTATTTGCCTCCTCCTCTGGCACTGACCAAGCCAAAAGCACATTGCAGAACCAATAGGCACCTCCGCCTTACCTCTGCTGCTTCCCAAGAAGTGGGGCCACCAGGCCTGTGTCAAGAGTGGCAAGGGGCTGGTCACTCTCCATGGCCAAGAAACTGGAGCAAAGTCCACTTCTAGGCCAGAAGCCCCCACCCATGGCTGTTGAGGGGAATCTAGTCCAAGAAGCTGGAATGGATAACCTTTTCACATTTTCCCCACCGGATAGTGTGACTACCCCTTGAAAAATATTGTATTGAGATGATGTTGGCTATGAAGGAAGACTTACCTTTGCTCGTTTGTCACGATGACATGTCTGTTGCAGGCATCCATGAGAGATCAAGAAACAGCCGCTGTTGTTCAAGACATAGAAGTCCACCAGATGGAGCTCGAATCGCAAAGACGGCTTTTTGAACAGGTGTGCATGCAATACCTAGCCATGCAGCAGGTGAAAGAGGCCAGCATCTTGCACGCTGGGGTCAGTGCCACTGGGCCCAATCAGATGGTAGATTTGTCGCAGCGGTAGATGTAAGTTGCAACTGATGGAGTGTTGAACGCATCTCCCCGGAGCTGCAAGATGGCCAAAGGCTGGAAATCCAGCTGGCATAATCCACTGAATGGCCCCTGCTTCAGCAAGGGAGGATTGGGGTAGTTTTTCTTCTCAGGTGCCCTTTTGTGCAACCCTGGCCTCATTATAGCTTCTGATCAGACATGCCAAAGAAGTCAGGCAGGGATGGAGACCCCCTTGTCAGCACCCTGCTGCAACCGCAGGAGACCCGTATCCAGCCTCTGCCATAACTCCTCCGATTGCTAACTGGAGATTAGGCTGTTTCCCCGCTCCACTAGCTGCACTGGTTTAAGGCTTCCGAAAAGTCTCTGCCATTGCCAGAAGGAAGGACTAAGCCCCCCCAGCACTGCACCCCTCTTTCAAGGATCGCCCCTCCATTGGTGCCAGTGTAGAACTTTTAAAAGCTTGCCTGCAGTGAGGGAGCAGGACTGTGTGTGCCGGAAGGGCAAAGATTTTGCATGTCTGTGTGGAAGCAGTGGGGTGGCGTCAGTCACTTTGGAATGTGGCCCCCATCGTGCTTGAATTTTTGACTTGGAATCCTCAGGAATTCTGGGAGTTGTAGTGCAAAACAGCTGAAATGCACCAGGTTGAGAGTGGGTGAAATGGGGAGTCACGTTCTACTTGGAAAGTGTTACTGGTGCCCATGATTTGCTTTAAGAAATGTGTTGGAGAAAAACCTCAGAAGAGGGTGCCCCCCGAAAATAATTCAGCCATACAGTGCTGCTGCAGGTGGTCCAGTTGCCCCGAAATAACCCAGGGACCTTCTGATGCTGATGCTCATCCTGCAGGGCAGCAGGGCATCGGGCCACCACATCACTAGAAAAGGCTGGAGCATTTGGAATGTTTATTCCTCCCTTGTGGCTTAGTTTTAGTGGTGTTGCTCCCCAGAACTCCATGCTTGTCTCTCACCACTTAGACCACTGTGGTCTTTCTCTTCCTTTTGACAGAAACTGGTCAAAGAGCAGGAAAGTGTGATGCAGGAAGTAAAAGGGGAGCTGGACACGAGCCGGAAGAAGGCGGAACTCGAAGAGCGTTTGCTGCAGAGGTTGATTGAAACGCGGCAGGATGGCGAACGGAGAGCTCAGCAAGTACGAACTCTGCAACTCGCCACAGACTGGCTTACTTGGCTTGTTGCGACTTATTTTTAACTTTCTGCTGAAATGCTATAGAGATCCTTTCACAGCTTGTCATTTTGGAAGGAAAACTGTACAGCCAGTGGAGGGAAAGTGTTGTTTTCCCCCTAAGACCAGGTTGGACCAGGATGACTCAGAGAGCAATTTTAGGAATGCTGCACAGAAGTATTGGGTTCAGGGGTTTATTCCCTGCTAAATTACAGGACTGTGGCCTTTTATTCAAATGTTTCTTGTTCTTCTGCTGCCACCTGCCAGGGGACACTTAGAAATATAGCCTAGTGATGTGTGAGGAATCCAGTCTGGGGGTGGGAATCCATCAGATTTCCTTAGCTCAGCTCCGCAGACTCTGGCCCACTTTCTCTCTGTCCTGTGTCTGCTTCACCCTGAGTGTGCATGCAGGCATCTGGCAGGACGTGAGTCCAAGCTTCTACACGTGAAACCTGCGGGCTTTGTGTACTTTGCACAAAGACTTACAAGTGCTGCATAGTTTGCGCAAAGAATTACGCCCTTTGCTCAAAGATGCCACTGGCATTCGCAAATGTTCACAGACTTGCTCTCAACTTGGCTCACTGTCTGGCCAGGACCAAGCATGGGGAAGAAGTCCAGTGAGTGCAAGAGAACTGGATTCTGGCCAGATCTTAACATCCCTAGTATAACCCCCTGCAGGCATTGCTCAGTGTAACTTTCCTTTGCCAAAAGAATGAAAGAAGAGGGTTGAAAGCTGCCAAGGAAACATAGGAAGCTGCGGTGCTGTGTCAGAGCATTGACATATCTAGCCCGATAGTGACCGGCAGCTGCCCTCTCTGTATAGCTGTTACGTACGGTCATCATTTTCAGAGTTAAACAAAGCAGATTGTTGCTATCTCAGCCATGCATGGAATTTCTGCAGAACTGACTAGCTCCCCACCGAAACGCCTTCTAGCCCACCTGCCCCGAAATATCCATTCTAGTGCTTGTTGGATCAGGAAAGAAAAGGAGCACTAATTTGTGTAAAGCATCCTTTCTGGGTCACTTGGGAACGCCTTTTACTTGTCACAGGTGAGCAGGCAGCTGGCTGCTTACAAGCCTGATGCAAAATCCTCCGTCTCAGTCTTTGCCTGACCAGATTTGTGTCCTCTTAGCTGGCTGAAGAATGCCTGGCCAAAGCCGATCGAGAGCGCTTGGATGCAGACTGGCGTGCTCGGGTCCTGCTGAAGCAAAGGTGCGATGACATGGATCGTGATGTTCACTCTCAAGAGCTGGCCAAGCTCCTCCGTTGCAACAGCGCGACTGAAGCAGAGCTGCTCACGATGATGGAAGCGGAAGCCAAGGAAGTGAGTGGCACTGGGCACGTCCTTGTGGGTGCATGAGTGGCTGGCCTAAAGACCAGGAGGCCACGCCGCTTCCACCACTGCCACCGCATCGCTGCCCACCACTTTGACCGACAGACCCCACCCAAGCCGAATCGTACCGCCCCACACCGGCCTGCGTTGCACGGCGCTCCTTTAGCACATGTGACGCCCAGCTGCTGAGCTGGGCAGAAGGGGAGCCTGCTTTTCCTGTCGTGCTGCCGCCTCCATTTTCCTCCTTCAGTGAGGACTGCAGTTCCTTCTGCACATGGCTGGCAACTGATCTGGCCCCAAAACAGCTGCTGGAAGCCCACTCGCCAGCCCGCCAGCTGTCACACACTTAGCACAGTTTGCACATTCAGCAGTACTTGTGAATCAGTGTAGAGAGCTGTGCATGTTCCCAAGCACGGGCTGGTTTTGCCAGATCTTCTGCAGCGTTGCTCCATTTCCTCCTTGTGCTGTTCTGAAGAGCAAGCATTGAGGACTTTGCCACATGTTGGTAATTTTGAGCTGAAGGGTATATTTGAGGTATCTCATTACTGTTAAGGGTGGTGGGTTAAGATTAGGATTAAAAATGTTGGTTATATCCCCAAAGTTGTGAATATTTGTCCAGGTGTTTGCTGAAGACTTGCTATTAGTTTCTGAGAGTCAATAACACTAGCTTCTTTCTTGGATTGAAATATTTCAAATTATTTTTATGTTTAAACTAATTGAAGTGAATTATTTAGATTAATTTTAATGGATTGTTGTAAACCACCCAGCAGTGGTTTACAAGAGAACTTTGACTGTTGGGTGGTATAGAAGTTATATTAAATAAATAAAAGTTTTTCTATATCTTGGCCTGTAGATTCTTCTCCCCTCCCCTTTCCTTACTCTTTTTAATGAGAACCTCTTGCTTTTTGTCTGTCTTGTTAGGCAGAGGAGGTTCTTGAAAAGAGAGAGCAGCTGGAGGCAGAGCAAGCCGTTACAGCAGCCTTGGATGCCAACAGGAAGCGCTGTCTGGAACGTGAAATGAAGGATGCCGTGGACCTGGCTGTAAAACTGCAGGATGAAGATGGTTATTTTGGTGAGTGCGCTGTGTTGCGTAAGCGTGCACGCAGAAGTGGGTGCAAGGGGACACAACAGCAGCGCAGCAAGGAAGGTCCGAATCCACCATACGTGCAGCCAGGTTAAGTTATTAAATATTTAACTAAAGTAGCCCAGTTGAGCACTGTGTTGTTAGTCCATTTATCTTCCTCATGTGTCATATAGGTATTGTCTTTCTCATATCTGTGTGTGTGGTTCACAATATTCATAATATGTTGTGCAGGTGTGTGCATGCATGTGTGTCTATCAGGCCAATGTATAAATTAAAATCAATTTTTAAATGCTTATATAGAAAACATTAACATGCTTTAAGGCAGAGAGCTCCATCCAGTGTTGCGCAAGTGGACTTCTTGTGCAAGGAGATTCCCCCCTCCACTGTGGGCACCCCAGATCTGCCGCAGAGTCCCCCATCCTCTGCTCCAAGGTGTGTTGGGGCTGCAGTGAGGAGGGGTACTCGCTTCTGCCAGTTGTATCCTTGCCACAGAATAAGCTACACAGCAAAAGTACCAGTGTATAAGTAGCAGTTAAAAAGCTGGAAGCCTAGGCTAATTTTTGCCTAGCACCTAAAAGACAACGGATTAAGTAGAGCAGCCTGAAATGGTTTCAAAGTGAAGCCAATGTAGCATTCATGATCCAGTAGATCTGGTATGGCATACTGGATTCAGGGCGGATCTTGGTCCATGTACAGACCAGCTGGAATCTCTCTCAGTCATGAAGTTCACTGAGCAACCCTGAGCTAGATGCAAAGTAATCCACTGTCCAGGGCTGTTAATTTTCCGATTTTCAGAAGCAATTCCCAACACACACACAGTTCAAACCTCCCTGGGCTCCTCAAAGGAAGGCAGGATGCAAATTTTGGCCAAGTAATAAAAGTAGTACATGAGGATCAGGCAATGTTCAATTTATCTCTCCCTCCATAATTCCTTACTTTGCTCTACAGCAGAGTTGGAGAACTTGTGGCCCTCCAGTAAATTTTGTAGATAAAGTTCTTGGTGAAACAAAATGGCTCAGCTTTCTTACGGTTCAGTGTGTAAAAGGCAGGTGCCCCAGCCATAGTTAGTGCCTTAACAAGAAGCCCGTTCATTCTCTGCAGAGAGACTGCATGACTTGAGAGCCTCCCAGACTCTGCAGAGTTCGGTGTTTGGTCAGACACGAGGGAAGACTCAGCTGCAGCCTGGCAACATCTGCTTGAATGATTCATCGGGAAGAGATTCATCGGCACACTGTAAGCAGCTGAGCACTCGAGAGAAACCAACCGTAATATTTCTCCCAGAGCTTGCGCTCTTTCTCTTGACAAATAGCAAGGCGGGGGGAACAAGCTAGGTTGGGATCCGGGTATGGGGGAGACTTGTGGGGGAGAATCGCAAATAGAGGTGTGGAAGCAGGACTGTGGCAGGGATGACGTCTCCCTCCCGCTATGCCATGCTTCTAGTCTGGCCTAAGACCCCACACTGGCTGTTCAGGAAAAGTCAGCGATGCATGGGCCAGCTTTCCTGTTTAGTCCTTCCCCCTCTGAACAAATTATTGGCCCCTTTCCCATACAACAGGGTAGACTTGGCCTATGATCACGTATTTTTCTCGTCTTTCCCTTTCCCTCCAACACCATCTGGATTGGTTTGAGCCAGTCCAGCGCAGGATACGAATTTTTTTCTTCTTCTCTTGTCTTGAGTTACAGATTTGAGGCAAGAGATGAGTCCATGCTGTAAAAGGAGACTTTGCGAGTCTGGTGCCCTTCAGAGTTTTGGGCTACCATTGGTTATGCTAGCTTCAGTTGATGGCAGCTGAAGTCCAAAACCTCTGTGGGACACCAGTTTGGGGAAGACTGAGAAAACAACCACATCAGAAAGAATTTACTGTCCCTGTTGAAACTTTTCTTTATGCACAAGATAATGTCTAATCCATAACTTCTCTCATTTCAAGAATGACCTAGTCCCTTGCCAAAGGCTACTAGCCAACGTTTTGAAAAATAAATTGTGGAAATATTTTCCCTTAGCTACTTCCTTACTGACTCCTTCCAAGGGTTCTAAAAGTTGGTAGAAACAGGAAAAGGTCACATTTTTAGTTATTTTTTTCAAGAAGGCACAACTTAATGCTGCTTTGGTAAGGAAAAGACAGACTCTAGTCTTATTCATCCTTGGAATTAGACCTGTTGAAATCAGTGGGATTTAAGTTGTCTGTGGCTAACTTAATTCATGCTGATTTCCTTGGGTCTGTCCTGAGTACAACAAAGTTCTGGTTTAGCCCTTTAAATTTGTGATTCTTTAAGTTTTAATCCACACCTCTCCTTTCAAGTCTCTTTAGATCGAGGTCGGGAAGATCTGGAATCAAAAGAGCGGGAGTTGATGGCAGATGTCAGACAGCTTAGACAAAAACTTACATCACAGGCTCGGGCAAAGATTACCCCAACTCCTGATGCACAGTGGAGCAGCTGAAGGGACATGATCCAGCTGCAGAGGGACTTTGCATTTTAAGTAGCTGCACTGAACAGCTTACAGGAACTGGTTTTACCCCTTTCTAAATGCATTCAGAGATATTTGTACATAAAAATTATTTTAAACTTGTTTTACTATTTTAACAAAATGTTAATTGAATAATTTTTAATAAACATCAACATCACAAGTCTTGTTGATATATAGGAGCTCCTTGTAACTTAAAAACTAGTGATATTTCTCTAATGGAAAAGAGTTGTGTGACCTATTTCAGCTGTTCTTACAAAACACTGCAATGCTTGGTGATTACCTGGTTTCGTCCTCTTTATTTTATTAGGACTGAATCTGCAGAAATCCCAGTGACCTTTCTACAAGGTTTACACAGTATCATACATTTTGTGATTGTGAATGCTTACAGAAGAAATGTTGACTGCTGTCAGATACTGTGTATTATTAAGGGAAGAGCACACAACAGGAGTATACATACTGATTTTCCAGAAGGAAGGATTTGCACATGTTAGGGAAAATATTAGAAGCAAATCTGGTGTATTTTTCTGTCTGTAGGGATTTTTGTCTAGGGAAATCATTAGCCGTGCATTTCTGCTGCATTCTAGAGAGGTATGGTCTACAGGGGGCAGTGCAAGATGGTTTTCTGAACTCATGGCTCAGGGTTCCTCAGTCTGATATACTCCCAGGGTGTTGGATTACAGATCCCACCATCCATAACTATTGCCTATGCTATCTTAGAATTGAAAAGGCACAAAAGGAAAAGGGATGATGAGGGGAGAAGTAGGACTCAGGCACTGCTTCTGACATCCAAAGTTCTTCTAGGTGGTCCCTTGGCAGGGAAGGGAAAAAAAACTCCCTGCAGCTGTTCTTTCTCTGGCCATGTATGGGGACTGGTCTCCTCTCTTCTCCTGGGAGGAAGAGGATGCAACCCTTTGCATCTTGGGCTGATGAAATGAGGCCGTAGTCTAGTCCAAGAGAACACACAAAGCCTGAATAATAAAAAAGCATCCTGCAGTCTACAAAGCTGCGGTCCTGTTGCTGAATAGAACACTTTCACTATCCTTTGCTAAAGGTGCTACTTCGCAAACAGAACAAGGGCACTCTGCCCAGTATCCAGGAGTCACTTTGCAGGCATGCCTGTAATAGAGTTTAGAAATTTGCTAATATTAGAGATCGCTTTTAATTAACTTCTTCCAACTGCAACCAACTTTTAAGCAGGTATAGCTGACTTTTCCCCACACTCCTCCCTTGCCTCTCCCTTTCTGTCTTAGACAATCAGTACCTTGGGCAACAAAACACCAGTGGGTATTTTAGTTCCTGGAGGATCCCTGTGGATGCTGTGAATACTGAGCACACAGTCTGCATGGTGGGTGGGGGGCAGAGCCTTCCTCAGCCCAGGGGCCGAATTCCATTTTGGAGATGGAGGGGCTGCATTCAGGAGGGGGAGCATAGAGACAAAATACTTGTCCATGCTATCTGAACCATGAGCTTAGGAGAAGGAGTTCATCCCTTGAGAACGAGGGGAAAATGGACCAAACCTGGAAATCATCAGGGTCTCAGATTTGACTCTTGGTGATGCAACCCTGGTCTACAATGTGCTGACATAGAATCGATGGTGTTCAGACAAGACATCAACCCATGCTCAAGGCTTAGGTGTGGATTATTCATGACGTGGTTCATGCTAAAAAGCCATAGCTTGTTAACCACAAACCCATGAAGAGAACCCATGCTTTTGGGCTGGGCTGGGCTGTGAACTATGAGTTGTTCACCGCAGTTTATCTCAGCTGGGTCCCAACAACACAGTCACCCCATGGTTCAAAATAAAACAGCTCAAACTCTCGTGCTCTCTTCACTCCCCTTCCTCTGACTTCCCCAGCCTCAGCCTGGGGCTTGCTCTCTTCACTGATCCCATGAGTACACGCACAAACACTCCCCATGTACAAAGGGACATCTCTACCTGGTCCACATTTTTTCAAAGGGCATCTAATTCTCTGCACTATTCAGCAATGAAGGGCTGTTGCTCATGAAGTTAAATGGTGCCACCCATGCAAAAAAAGTATCAGCGAGCTGTGGGGATACCAGGATTTGCAAAAGTACAAAAAACATCTCAGGAGGGGAAAGCTGCCCACCAAGTGAATGACCCTGTGCTATGGGCTTTGAGGCAACCTATGATGATAAAGCATTCACCAAATCTGAATTTATCTTTTTATTTTACATTCATATCTTGCTTTGTCTCTTGCGAGGAACCCAAGGTGGCTTAAATGCCCCCTCCTCTCTGTTTATCTTCCCAACATCCTTGTGGGGTAGGTCAGATGAAGAGTCAGTGAGTGACCCGAAGTTAGTAAGAACTATGTGTGTAAAACAGGAGTCATGCATGGCTATGGTATATAAATAAATCACGTTAAGAGTAATAAGAGTGATTGTGCATGTTCAATGCAAAACAGGTATTGCTTTAAGTGCATATTTGCATGCAGTTTTCACTTTTTAAAAAAATTCACTGCAGAATAGGGACAGGGTGCTGATCCACCCAATCCCTGCTATTAGATCCCAATTCAGATAAGGGGTGCTGTGCTTACACTAACCTAACGATTAGAAGAGGAAAAGGAGGACATTGCTGCTAGGTACAGAGGTAAAGCAAAGCCAGGTTGGGCCCTTATTCAGAATTAAGGCTTGCACGCGCATTCATGGGTGCAGCACCATCCTCACTTGCTGGCAAATGTGCCCCAGGTGTCAGCCTTGTTTGCACATTTATTTGGAAGTCCTGCAGACTTCAGAGGGAGGGACTTACTTCCCAGTAACTTTTGACATAGAATCACCTGCCGCATGAACCCATTGCAAGCCAGTTTCAGCTGCCCACATAAAGCCACAGGCAGTCTTCGGGCTCAGCCGACTACACCTGGAGCCCCAGATCTCTCTCGTGAAGCCCTGAATCCCTGGGAGCCCACCTGTCCCACCTGCTGTTTGCCATATGTGCTTCACCTCCTGGAAGTGCCTCCCCCTACTTAATTCTTGCAACCTAAGGCTTTTTTTTAATCCTGAAAAGGCCTATGTCTGAAAAGTTCGAAAGTCTAAAATGACTTTGGAGCACGTGACAATCATGCGCAACTTCGTGCAGTTTTTTTAGTCATTCTTATTGGTTTGCTTTTGGCCCTATGGGCCTGAGTGCCGGATATTTTCCATGACGTCCGATCGACGAACGGCTTGAATGGGGCCACCTGAATTTACCACTCCCCACCATCCTGCACTGCTTCGCTGGTTCCCCGCCCGCCACAAAACAGAGACCTTGGTCGTGCAGCGGTACGGTTGCAAGGCTGTGAAAGTGCAGAGATTTCCAAAAGAAGGGGCGAAAAAGTTCCACTGCCCCGTGTGAGGCTCGAACTCACGACCTTCAGATTATGAGACTGACGCGCTGCCTACTGCGCTAACGAGGCGGGCGACAGGAGCTGCAACAAGTCTTCACATGAGACGGAGAAGCAATCTCTGCATGAGTCGCTGCTGCTGCTCCTGCTTCTCTTGCTTTTCCCTGTCTTCGCGGACGTCGCTCCTTTTGCATTGCGCGGTTCCTCCTGGCGTAGCCACTGCAAGGAGAAACTGTCCCCGGGGGCAGTCGGGGAGACCGAAGAGCGCTCCCGCCTCTCCGCCCAGCCAAGGCCCTCCCCCTTGTCAGGGAAGCGCAGCCGGGGGGCTCCCATGTGCCCCCTCCGTGCACGGAGCTGCCAGTTCTTGGCTGCTGCGAGCCATTTGGGCAACCTAGCGGGTCTGACCTAGGCTAGCCAAAGGAGGAGATGAAGCGCCAGCCGGGACCCTGTGGATTCGCATGCCGGCAGGGCATCCGCCCAACAGGCCCTCTAACCCGGCATCCCGTTTCCAGCAGCGGTCAGCTAGTCAGGAGCTCTTGCCCCGAATTGCACCGGCAGAGCAAAAACTGCGAAGGTTGGAAATGCAAGGGGTAGGGAGAGGCTTCACTTTGCCATGAATTCGTCCAATTGTTCGTTTTAAGCCTGCTAAACCGGTGACCAACTCCATCCCCGGTGGGAGTGAATGCCCTAAGTTAGCTACACCGCAGAGTTGGAAGAAGTACAGAAAAGGGCAACACAAAGCATCCCCGTGAAAACAGGTTACAGCGGCTGGAATTGCTTAGCTTAGACCACGGACGAGAAGGGGAGTCATGAGAGAGGAGTACGTAACGCTCCTTCTCCTCGTAATCTTATCCTCCCAACAACAACCCTGTGAGACAGGCTGGGCTGAGTGAGACTGCTGCTGGTTGGCTGCTGTTTGAACAGACTGCTGGACTGGAGAGAGACCTTCGGCATGAAATTAATTTATCTACTTTATCTTGATCTATGTTGTAAGCCATCCAGAGACGCAAGTAATGGACGGCATACAAATTTTATAAGTAAATAAATAAGAATGATCCAGCCAGGCTCTGCGCTCCTTATGCTGTTGGAGCCCATCATCCCCAGACAGTGTGGCCAGCCCATGATCAGGGATGATGGGCATTCAGCGGGTAAGGCAACTCTGTCATAAACAAGGGCTGTGGGTTCAACAGCCCTCTTGCAAATAGACTTCCAACAAGCCAAGCATTTCCCAGCTGCTGGATACTTTCCTTTCATTGACCTGCTAAAAGACTGCAGGGAAGGAACGGGAAGGGAAGGATGGGGCAATATCTAACTTTAGAGTTTTGCCACAGAGCAACCCCAGGCTATAAAGCATTTGTGGTGACCAGCTGGCCTTTCCAATGTCTTCAACTACAGTCCCCATCATGTTGGCAGGGGCTCACGGGAGTTGAAAATAGCATTCAGTGGACGCTGTTTCCTAGCTTAGATCACAACAACATCAGGTGACTTTGACCAATCACCACAGAACAGGCCCGATAACAATAAATCCGTGTGATACATTGTCATTTTTTAGCCTGGTCTGATTGAAGCTGACAGGCCATTATTCACTTGTCAAGTTGATTCATCGAAATGACTCTGTCCAGGGTAATTGCATGCAGCAGTTTGTTGGCTAATCCCTTGTTTTGTGGAGCCTGACGCAGCTGCAGGCAGGCAGACGTTGAGGGCAAAGCTGCAGTTCCTTAATGTCAAGTGCCCAACTGGATCACAAAGGTTGATGCACAAAGGAAAGTGGCAAGCAGGCCTTATTGTGCACTGGGACTTGCTGCGCAGGTGTTCATACCACGCTGCAGGAATTAGAAATGCTAGATCCCTTCAGCTTTTAAAATTGGTCTGTACAACTTGTGACTTAACTTCATAGCAGCCTACCCCCTAAAGATTAATTATAATAACAAAAAGGCCCATCCATTTCTTAACATAAATGCTCTTCATTGGGAAATCTGTGCATTTTGCAATTCTTTAATTCCTTGGTGCTGTGCTGTGTGACATTCCCTGTAACCTCAGCCGCCGTTCCAGAAGCATAACATGTTCAATGGTATCAGAAACCGCTGAGATATCTAGGCATGTCAAGAGGGTCTCACTCTGCCATCTCTCTCCCAACATCGGTCTTCACTGTACCAAAGCCATTTCTGTGTCGAACCCTGACTGAAATGGATCCAGGTAATGCGTCTCTTCGGAGAATGCCTGGAACTGGCTGGCCACCACCCACCCAAGGACTCTGCCCAAGGGAGGACCACTCCCCACAGTCCCGAAGAAACCTCAGAGAGTTTCTTCAGGAATGGTCTCTCCATCGCCTCTTTAAAGCAACAGGGACCATTCCCTCTTGTAAAGAGGCACTGATCACCAAACTGGTCCAGTGGCCATTCCCTTCCTCCTAGATTTTATGAGCCAAGAGAGGATGTGGTTGCATGAGCCAGTCCAAGCACCTGGTCAGCATCCTCAGCTGACCCAACAGAAACCCGTCCAAGAAAACTAAACCAAGCTGTGGTCTGGGAACCTCGCCAGATTTGACTGCTGTAACAGTGGAGTCTAAGATCTGGTGAACGCAAGCGATTTTACCCTGGAAGTGCCTAGCAAATGTATTACAATGGGCTTCTAATGAATCTAAGATGTCCTTGGGACCAGCGTGTGATCGGCTCCAGATGACACCGAGAAGCACCAGCGGGCAGCAGACAGAAGAGTGGATAGTGGCAGTGAGGTATTTTTCTTTGCTGCACTCACTGCCACTAAAGGATTTTAGGCACTTACCAGGGCTCAGTTGCACCCCTGGGAGGTTTTTTATCCCTCTGTGCTCAAGCCTCTCTTGCTTGAGAGAGGCTTGTTCATTGCTCTCAACTCTGGGTATTACCATGCATGATCTGCTACAAGGAGGTTAACTTCTGTTTTCAGAGTTCGACCAGAGATTCAACAGAACCCCCAGTCATCTCAGCCAGAAAATCCCTCAGGAAACCATCTGGATCCATCAGCCTGGCAGCTTCTTTCCCCCCTTGTTAGGTCCCCCAGCCTTGCAGAGGGAAACAGTCACTTCTGCTCTAAATCTCAACAGGCCATGACACGGGACCACTTCAAAGCCCTCACCTTCAGGTCACTTTCCCTGTGCCCAGCTGAAGAAACCCGTCCAGAATGTGCCTGGCCACACAGGACAACGATATGTCAGGACAGTGCCTGTGATTGTCATAGAGGTCATGACATCCTGAAGGTGCTCTCAGTAGAGAAGTTAATGTTCCCCTTCACCTGAGACCAAGAGTCACATCCAGGACCACATTTGTGATGTCAGATGACGAGTCCGTAAAGCAAAATGGACGGTAGTACACCAACGGGATCTCTAATATGAACCACTGGCCCAACAAGAGATGCCAGCACTCTAGACTGGGAGCTTAGAGGGATGGAGAGAGAATTCCTACAGATCTTGGCAACACCCTCTGCCCAGGCCTCAGGTCTTCCTTGATGATGAACCACAATCCCTGGTGGGTAAAACCGGGAGATACTAATTCCTCCCCATTTGCTCACTCAGGTCACAGTGATGCAAGCCAGATTAGCTGCTTCAAAGCAGTTCTGTAGCAGGAGTGAATAGAAAACTGGGCAAACACATTGGACAATTGGACTAGTTTATGCAATCAAAGGAGCATCGTTTTCACATCTGTGCCAAAAGTATCCATGAATCTTAAGTTACTTCTTATTCAGCAACAACTTTGGTTCCATGTTTATTAGTTACAAAAATATTTATTTAATAAGGATTCGTCTGAGTTGGCCGATTGCTGGATGTGAAACAAAGCTGACACATCTTTTAATCAACCCACGTTTTGGCAAAGTTCAATAATCACCCTTTTGGGGAGGAGGTCATATTATGGATATATTTTAATATTCTTTACTATTTACTGATGTGTGTTTTTTGAATTGTTTAGCTGTCGCTTGGAAGTTAATGCCAAGTCAACATACAAGTTTTTCTGTGCCTTTTTGACAGCTGAAGATTAACATTACAACACTGAAAGGATAAACACCTCCTGTCTATCGCACAATGGACGGAGATCCTAGTACGGCGTTCTCTATTTGAATAGGTGGTATTAAGATGTCATTTGCAAATGGATAAATATGTGGGCTGAGAAGGCCCAATGAGTGCATCCAATCTAAAACTTCTCTTTTGAATCATGAGAGGTAGAAGTTGAGCTTTAAAAAAAAGTTAAGAATCATAGGATGCTGAACTGTGTAGGAAAGATCAAATGCGGATGCTTATTTTTGGGGGGGAAAGGTTGCACAGAATTGCACATCATATACATGTCTGAACATAATGACAACCGTTCCAACACAATATGCCAATTACACATCAATATTGCATGAGTTCCAGGGAAGTTAGAATGGATCCAGGCTTGAGTCATGCTTAGGGTCGACCTACTGAAATCAGTGGGACTTAAGTGAGACATTACTAATATTCAATGGTTTTCAGTGAATCTACTGTAAATGTGACTCAAGTCTGCATACAACAAACTGATAACAGAAGTGTATAGTCATAGGCCTTAATTTCATGTTGTCCATAATTAATTCTGTCTCTGAGCAATCTCAAAAATTGTCCAGCTGTAAGTGGGAATCATTTTTCCTCCTGCCTGAGCATTGCTTGAATTCCTTGCTGTGTCAGACTGAATGAGAGGAAGAAATTGCATGATGAACTCAAACCTGGATAATGAGCAGCTGAGAGCATTTTTTTCTTTCTTCCCCTTTCTTAGACCCTGAGGAGAAGGTGTAACTTTCTCAGGTGAGCAAACACATCAGCTTGAAACTTGACTACCATCTGGAGTTTAATTATTATTGAAATGCATCTGGCTAAGCTTGAGTGAGTTGTCCCTTTTTTTTGGTATACACCCAAAATCAAGAGAGAGTTGGATTGGGACAATTCACTTTAGGTCTCGAGGGTTGTGTGTCTCGATTAACGAAGTGTGGGTTCTCCACCCTGCACCGTTTGCACGTGGGAATTCTTTGACTAAACCAGAGTCATCCCTTTGCTCTCGTGCACAGGCCTGGCAAAGAAGTATGAACAGAGCAAGACACACTGGTAAGATTCGCAGGCGACTGGAGGAGGTCAAGAACTGGTCGTTCCGGCTGGCGAAAGTGGACTTTAGCCACAACGAAAGTGTGCGCCTGGCCACAGATGCCCTCTTAGATGGTGGGTTCTCGTCCTACCTCAAAGCCTTGGAAGAAGAAGGAGAAGTTGATTTCCTGTCTACGGTGGAAGCGCAATACATCAAAAAGAATGCAAGGGAGCCGTACTACTCCAGTGACACACACGGCGATGGGGAAGGTGGACCAAAGCAGAGTAACGAAGCCCGGTCTCTCGCATCAGGAACGTACTTCCCCCTTGTCTCTGAGAACAGCGAGCCAGCCCTCCTTCATACATGGATTGCTGCAGAGAAGCCCTACCTAAAAGAGAAGTCAAGCGCCACCGTGTATTTCCAAACAGACAAGAGCAGCAATATTAGAGACTTGATTCGCCGCTGCATTAACAAGACCAGTCAGGTATGGGAAGAGCAGCTATTTGTATTTCTTGTACAGTGAGATTAATATCCCACCTTTTCTCCTCTTGCAAAGAAAACAGCTTATACATGCCTTCTTTGATTTATCCTCAGAGCAACCTTGTTGAGTAGGTTGGGCTGAGAGTCAGTGTCAGGCTCAAAGACACCCGGTGAGCTTTTTAGCTGAGTGGGGCAAGGGGGTAGAACCAGGCTCTCTCTGAGCCTGCACTCTAACTACTACACTATACTGTCCAGGCAAAACCAGCTCTGATGGGCAGGCATGTAAGTGTAGGGCTGCTACCATATGATTTCTGTTTTGGCAAGTTTGCTTCACAGCTGTAGAGTGCCCCGTAAACACACACACACACACACCCCTTCTGCAATATCACATGTGGTTTAGGGGCTCAGCTCACAGGGGAGTTGGTTCTCTTTATCCTACTTTTACCAATGTAAACTCCTTAAAATGCACCAGCTTGCAGCTGTATGGTTTTCCTCCACTTAATGCTTAAAATAGACAAATGCAAAGTCTCCTTTTGGCAGGTATATATGATCCCATATCGATCTTTTCCTGAGGCGAAGCTGAAGAAGAGAGAAGTGAGGGGGGTACATACTAGCTTCTTCAAGTGTATCGCTTAGCACCTGTGAGGAACCCTCCAGATGTTTTGCAGTTCAATTCCCATCAGCCCCAGCTAGCATGGCCCATGACCAGGAATGCTGAGAGTTGTCCAAAAACATCTGGAGGCCATCAGGTTGCAGAAGACTGGTGAAGAGAGAGAGAGAGAGAAGGTAATCTTTGTAGCCACCATGACTGTGGTCAAACGGAGCACTATTGCCGCTTATCTGCAGATACCTGGTATTGTGATATTGGCTTGCAGGATGACTGAGACAAGGAATGAGAAATTCTTTTGAATAAATGATGGCAGCACTATGGGGGGGGTTGTCAGTGTGTAGGCTGCACTACAGGGGTGTTGTTTTCAGAACTCCATGAGGTATTTCTCCTTCGCTGGCATCTGTTTGTTTCTGTTCCCTCTGCAGGTGCTGGCCATACTGATGGATGTGTTCACAGATGCAGAGATATTCTGCGATGTCTTAGAAGCAGCCAATAAGCGGAGGGTGTTTGTCTACCTGCTGCTTGACCACAGCAACCTCAGGCTCTTCACTGAGATGTGTGACAAGCTGCACATCGCAGAGAACCAGTTCAAGGTATTTCCAACTCCTGTTAGGGATGCCGGTGACGTCTGCAGGGGATGAGTTTGGCTTTCTGTCCATCCAACCTGCAGATTTTCCCACTGGACCAACTTTTCCCAAGTCCCTCCAGCTTCTGCAGATTTTCAGAACAGTTCTTTACTTTGCAAGGATGATGAGATTTGTGCAATTTTGTTCATTTGCAAATGTGATTCATGCAGGTATGTGTTTGGAAAATGAAATTCTCATAAAGATCTGATTCCATCAATGAGCAGAGGACAGAACAAAAGACACCTGATATAACAGATCTAAGAAAATCCATACATCTCTAAACTCTCCAAAAGCTTTCTTCCAGCTGGTTCGACTTAGTTTGTTTTTGCTTCCACTGTGCAAGTTCTGTTGAATCACAACATAATACCTGATTGACTTTGCATGCTTGCTTGATTTTTAAGGAAAAAGAATGGTTTAGCCATCATATTGGCCTATGTTTGGAGCTACATTCCACATGGGGTAGAATGAGGTGGACAATCAGGAGACAGATTTTCAGTGCTATTAAAGGATGATAAATTGTCAGCTGTTGGTGATATATCACACACACGGAGCAAGAGCATTTGTCCACATCAGGTGACATATTTGTTGATATCATGTGTCGTCAAGTCTTCTCTAACCGATGGTGAACCTATGAACGGAAACCCTCCAAAATGCCCCATCCATGATGGCCCTGCTCAGCTCTTGTAAATTCCAGGCTGTGCCTTCCTCTAAGGAGTCAACCCATCTCCTATCTGGTCTTCCTTTTCTTTTTCTACCTTTGACATATTTGCAAAGATTAAATAGTGAAATGGGTTAACAACCAGTGATTGACATCTGCATTAGTTCTCTGGTCTGATGATAATTTGGTTGTGCCCTTGCTAATTTGGGAAAACAAATTCTTGGAGAAGACTGTACCTTGGAAGGCAGGTTGACATAAGAGGGACAGTTCACACAAGTGGATGCCATGTGTATGTTTGCACCCTGCAACCTTAAGTGTACCTATACCGCACATATGTGCACCCTAAAAAACATTGGCAGATGAGAACAACATCTCATCAGGGTTCCGTAAAGGAATTTCCCCTTGCCTCAGCTGGAGAAGTGGGGGACTAAACATGGGATCTTTCATTGAAGTTCAGCAGCACCCCCTTCCTAGAATATCTTTGCATCGGCTGGGTATGGAACGCCAGCGCCTTCACTACAGGAAAAATTCTACTGCTGAACCACCCCATTGATCTGTTTCTGTGTTCCCCCCAGCTCCCCCGCCCCCCACTATTCTGGTAGATTCTGGTAGATCTTGGGGTTTCCCTAAGCAGGATGGTCTCATCCTTCTCTCTGTGTGGATGGCGCTATTTTAAGCAATGACACTCTCCTGAGCACTGTAAGCGGGAAGTAGCTGTGAAAATGTCACCTTCAGACATCACCGCAACTTCATGTTTCGGTAGCAGCCAGGACCCAACTTCTGAAGCTGGGACAAGTCCCAAGCTGTAATTTGGGACCTTTGTGTACTTCAGTAATCCTCAGACTGGAGAAAGAAGGACTTCTGGTAAAAGTCAGAAACATATTGGAATGCATGGTAATAGTTACATAAGAGTAAAACTACAAGGAATGCTTTTTTACTGTCAGTCCTATTGCTAAATGCATTTCTATCCAGCGTTCCTCCAAGGAGCTCATCCATGCGTCTATTCCTGTGCCCACCTCCCATGCAATTATATCCTTGTAACAGCCCTGTGAGGTAGGCTGGGCTGAGAGATAGTGACTGACATGCAGTGTTCTTTGAAAATTTACCAGAACATTTCTGTGAGAAGCGTTACAGGGGAGGTCTACTGTGCCAAATCGGGCCGGAAGTTCTCGGGGCAAATCCAAGAAAAGTTCATCATCTCAGACTGGAGATATGTTCTCTCTGGATCCTACAGGTAAGCTCACCTGCCACATTTTTATTGTACTATGAGGGTTGCTGTTCCATGGGCTAAAGCATCTCAGGAAGGGAACCAAGTACCTTGATGCTTCATTTGCTGCTTGCTTGGAGAATGCTGCACTTTCTCCCAGTGAAGTATCCACCAGGCTGCCCCCACCTTTTTCTGGGCTTTGCTAGAACCTGACTGAACCAGCATCACTCTGTGGACCAGCCTGGTGCCTTCAATAAGCAATGGATGACAACTCTTAGCATCCCCCAGGCAGCATGGCCAATGCTTGGGGAAGGCTGCTTGGAACCCTGAGCTTCCTGGCCTTATCCCCATTGCCTGCCCCTTCAATGCCCATGCAGAGTTCTCCAGAGGGTTGCAGCAACCCCTGCCATCTTGGGCCCTTCCACTCCTTGCTCTGAGTGAGCCTCTTGACATCTGCCCCCAAGTCCTGCCCTGGTGGCAATGCAGTTGAAACCCTTTCAAAGCTTGCAGAGAGCAGGGAGAAAGAAAGGCACAGAGGGAGAACAGGAAAGAAAAGGGAGATTTTAGCACGGAGAGGAAGAAACGAGCTGGTGCAGGGACAGGTTTTTCTCATCTATTTGCAAGGCCAGAATAATTACATGCCTGAATACTAGCAAGATTTCAACATGTGCAGGAATAAAGGTGCTCGTTTTATCCAGTGGTTTTAACATTTGCTGCGTGCCGCCTGCCAACAGCCTGGCTCATCCATGCCCTGCTGATCTCAGCTTTGCTCTCCTGTGCTCTCTTTCTTGGGAGTCATTCCAGGATGGCAGGACAGATCACCTGCTGTGTTCTTAGCAGGTTGGCCACTTGTGCATTGACCCCGGAGAGGAATAGGACAAGCAGAAAAGAGGGTGCCTATTTGCATATACAGTACTAACATATAAATATATAATTAAATTTAGAAATAATGATTGTCACTTAAATAGAAACACAGTGCATCTCATTGGACAGGTGACCTGTGAGCCTAGCATGTGCTGCTGCCCAGGTGCGGTGGATGGGCAGCTGCGAGGCCCGCCTTTTCCTCCGAGGGTGCCTTATCTTTGTCCCAGGCTCTTTCCAGAGGCATTTTCAGAAGAGAGGACAATCATAAGAAAAGCAGGGTGCCATTCTGTTCACACAGCGGCCAAACAGCTGCCCATGGGAAGTTGACAAGCGAGGCAGGAGTATAACAGCACCCTCGCCCCCATGTTCCTCAGCAGCTGGTTTGAGCGGCTGGTGTATGTGAGCACACTGTCTCGTGGTGTGGGACCACGCAGCCATTAGGGCTAGCAGCCACCACTGGCTTTCTCCTCCAGGAATTTGGCCAACGTCCTTTTAAAGCCATCCCTTTGGCCACACTGTAAATTGAGGACTGCCTTCCGTAAAGGAGGAAGCCTGGCCACTGGAACAGAGTGAGGTGGCCCCCTCAGAAAGCAGATCATGAGTTTCACTGGAGGGCAGCATGTTTGCAATCAATCACATGTCTTTTAGATTTTATTGCAGGATATGGGGAGAAAGGCATGGGCATGGCTTGGGGTGAGTCTTCCTGGGTGGAGCTATTTCCAGAGAGTGCCCCGTGAGCATTGCTATACAAGTTCCCCCTCAAAGCGTGGCTGTCCGCTGCAAGGAGACAAGCCTGGAGCAGTGACTCACGTGGGAAACAACCTGCCTCTCTGTACAGTTGCTGATGAACATGACTGGATGGGAACTCTTGCATTTAGAAACATAGAGAGTCAGAAGGGGCCTCCAGGGCCATCTAGTCTGACCCGCAGCTCCAGCTACCTCCGCTCATGCCATGCCTACCACCATGTGAAGGTCCAACCGAACCTTATTTGCTCATTTACTTCTTTGCAGCACCGAAAATACCTATTTATCCGACAGAGGACTCAAGGCATCAAACAATAATATATGCATTAAAAACAAAATGTTCACTATAATGTAGCATTTAGTCAAACCTGTTAAAAACAATGATAAACGACATACACAGCATGCAAGCAGTTAAAAAAATAAAATGAAAGCTTAGCAGCAGACCAGGTTAATGACATAGCTGTATGAAGGCACTGTTGCCTCTCTGCCTGCCTGGAGGAGGACAGCAGAAAGGGGGACAACCCAGAACCCAGGAGAGGCCTTCTCTTGCCTCCCCACTTCTCTTTGGTGGTGGCGGTACCAAGAGAAGGGCCTTTGCTGGCGACTTACTGACCTTATCACATGCATATCCCAACTTTCTTCCAAGGGTCCTGTACATGTCGTCCATGCAACAGCCCTGGGAGGTACGTTAGGTTGAGGGCCAGGGACTGGTCCAAAGTCACCCAGTGACATTCAAGATGGCACGGGACTAGAACCTGGATCTCCCAGGTCCCCAGTCCAACATCCTAACCACCACGCCTCCTTCATTGCCGCCCTGTGAGCCTCACTTGGAAAGGGATGCCCAGATGGCCGCTGTGAGCCGGTTTGGGCTCAGAGAAGTGCTCAGGCAGCCATTTTGCTCCTGAGCTGTGTAAGGCTCCATAGGCCAGCCTTGAGCAAAGCTGCAGGACATGAGGCCAGGGAAGGCTGTGGGGAGCACTTGCCGTGTTTTTCTATGGGAAACGTGACTGGAAAATGCAGAAACGAAGCAAAACTCTGGAGATGCTCCAGACAGGTTTTCTCCAAGCAACCGGCTTTAATGAAATTTTAGCTTTGGGCTGGGGGGGGGGGGGGGGGGGGGGGAGAGAGAGAGAGAGAGAGAGGTGAGGTTAAGAAAACACCCCTACACAAGTATTTTATCTTGATATGTGGGTGTGGAGCAATATTTGGCTGCACTGTCCAATGTTTAAATTATTTGAGGTTAACTGAGGCAGACACCTGAAATCCTCCCTCGAGCCCTACAAAGTTGTATGTTGAAAGTGGGAGTTGGCAGGGCGGAAAAACACTGTGCATTTTCTTCCTCTGTTTAAGCACAAGCGAATGGTTGCCATGGAAAAGGGAACCTGCTTTAAATACACAGATGTTTGTGCTTTTTACAGCTAATTAATTTTGTGAATCAAGAAACATTTAAAAGTATCAAAATGGCTGTATTTAGGGTGAATTTGGGGTTCTTGGTGGTGTTTGTTTTGTTTTAGGGGCTTCCTGTTGACTCTGTCCCATTTGATTGCTCAGAGTCATTCTCATGATCATTTTAGCACGAGTCTGCAGAGAAAAGTGGGCAGGCGGTGATTCCTGAGACTCAGAGCCACTGGAGAAGTTGGAGACCAATTAAGATGCTTTGTCCCAGGTGGCTGCTGGGTAGCTTTCTGATCGCTTGGGGGATCATCCTGGGTGCCACCACTAAGAAGGCCACTGAAGGGCTTTCAGGACAGCCCTTCATATTATGCTCAGAAGTGTTTCCTCTTATAACCCTTTAACCTGGATACTCACCCATTTTCCCCTTCTGCCCTCATCCAGCTTCACGTGGCTGTGCGGCCAGGTCCATCGGAATTTCCTCTCCAAGTTCACCGGCCAAGTGGTGGAGCTCTTTGACGAAGAGTTTCGCCATCTCTACGCCATGTCCAAGCCGGTGGCGGGACTGAGGCCTCCGTCACACACGTCGCTCCTCTTACTCAACAAGAGCACCGCGGCCACCCAAGGCAGCCTCCCCAGCAGCAGCACCCGGGGACACATGCGAACCCCCTCCGACCCATTCAGCTGCCCGTCCAACAGCAGCCTCTCGGCAAACCAGCCGCCTCCCAGGGCTCCCGTGTACAACAGCCAGTCCACGCCGCTGTCGCCGCTTACCAGAGTCCACTCTTTCCATGGCTACACCACATTCATGGCTGCCCCTCCTCCAAACGGGGTCCAGGTCAACTATTACCAGCGACAGTACATCACCGACTCCCCGGCCATCCTTTACAACAACATTAACATTTACAGACCGGTGCGAGTGAGGCAGGAGGGTGTCAGCAGGGCACAGATGAACCCCGTCTGGCAGTGCCTTCACAAAGCCAATCTCATGGGATGACTTGCAGCCAGGCTATTGGTACTGTTGCTTGCCATGAGTGTGAATATTGGGGTATAGGGGGGCAGGAAGCAAAATAACCATCCTGCCCAGTGCTGAGGTCTTCTGAAGAGACACTCATCATGGCCCTGCGTGGGTTGGAGAGCCATTTGGAAATCACCAGCAGTGGGGCCTTCAGTGTGCTGGCTCCTACTCTTTGGGATGTCCTTCCAACTGAGATCAGGAATGGATCTAAATTACTTTGATTTTGGGCACTGGCTGAAAATGTCACTTCAGGTAACCATTTACCGCCTAATAATGGGATTTACAGACTTTTTTGTATTTTTATTCAATCTACACCACTCCAATATCTTATGATGCCAAGTAGTTTGTACATTCTAAATGGACAGGCAGATAGATATAGGATGATGAGTGATCCATTGATTCTTCCTCCAGTTTGATAATCTCTGTTGTGTTTTTGTTTGATTTTAAGAAATGTTTCTAGACTTCAGAGCCGCTAAGAACACGAGAATTTATTAGGGCAGTGCGCTTCCTTAGGAAGAGAAACCAGCAGGATTTATTTTTAAACCCAAAATGGGAAATGTATAACTAACATGGCTAATAGATGGCCCATAATTTTGAGTCTGCAGTACTAGACTCTTTATCAATCCAGATAGAGGGCAATTCTCTACATGTTTAGATGGAAAGAGGTCCTACAAACTGTAGGACATTTTTTCTAACTAATAATGCATAAAAAATGCACCTTTAAACACAAAGCAGGCTTTTCTGTGCAATTAACAGGGAGTGAAATGCACACTAAACTATTCTGAGTAGACTTTGTTCTTGACAAAGCTCAGTTTGTGAGGGCTGTCAGAGCAATTATGTTAAATTGTAAACTGTACTTACTCCTGAGTCCAAATATATCAATCTGAGCTTACTCCTAGGTAAAGGTGCTTACAATAGCATCCTTTGTTTTTCACGTGACCTACTCTGAAACTTTTGCTTTTTGTGAGTAAAAAGTTTAAAATGGGAAGAATCTTTTCTGTGTTATGTATATATTCTTGCTATTCATTTATACCTTTTTAGTATATATAAAATAAAGTTTTATCAAAACATTGCCAGCTACTGTGAGTTCTATATCACTACTCAGATGCCCTGTTCCAGAGGTCATGGGATTACCAGTGCAAAAGAGATGCACCCTCAAAGTTGCACCCTCCATTAAAGGGAAATCTTTTTGGCAGAGCAATTCCAAGGGCATCCATGGCTAGAGAAATCCACGATGTTCAGGATAAATAAACGTGTAGATTTATTGAGAGGGTAAAAAATAAACAGCAGATCTACAGTTGGGCCACAGCAGCAGGCATGAAGAACTTTTGGCAACTAAGGACTAATTTTCAACTTTTGCATCAGAGCAAGTTTCTAATTAGAAGACCATACAGCAACTGCAAGGTCATCTGAAAACTGAATGCTTATGTAACTTCAGGAAAGAATGGGGAGGAAGAAATCAGTGGAATACTGGAGAGATCTCTGGCGTTTTATACGCAAATTCTCACACTGGCAGCAGGGCCTGGTTTCTTGACCTACAGCTTTGTAGCTGTTTTTGAAACAGTTTGAACAGAGATTCCTGAAGTTACAGAAATGAAAGAGACACCCTGAACAGGATTCCCAGTGAAAAAAGGTGTGTCTTTCCATTCTTTCTCACCCTTTTTCTTCTAAGCCCTATAACCTTTGCCAAATTATTGAGTTACCTAGATACAATAATAGACTGTGGCAGATTATGCAATTTCTTAGAGAAAGAAAATCTGACGAATGAGGATAGGCTGAAGCACAGAATGCACAACATTCTCAGTGAATACTACAGTGTTGAAGTAGGTGTGAAGGTAAGGAGGAAGGGGCTGAAGTCCAGCATTTCAATGACTGGCACCTGAGCTTCAAACACAGATGGCCAAATGATGGCACAAGCGGGAGTGTACAGCCATCTTGAACTAGAGCAGGGCTCAGTTGTAAACAGCTGTTGCTCAGTGGCAGAGCACCCGCTCAGCATGTGCAAGGTCCCAGGTCTGAGCCACGTCATCTCCAGGTAGGCCTGGAAGGCCTACTGAAAAACCTAGCGGGTTGTTGCTGCCAGTCAGTGTTGCCAAAACTGGTCTACATGGACCAAAAGGTTTAACTCAAGGCACCTTCCTCTGTGCCAGGAACCAAACCTAGACCTTCTGGGGCTCCCCAAATGGCCATGCTTCTTTCTCTGTGCCAGCCCCCATTTCCCTCTAGCCCAAATATTCAGATGGTTTCCTGGCTCTGGTGCAAGTTTTCCCCATTCCACAAGTTTTGAGAAACCTCTCCTAAGGCTTAGTTCCTGGCAGTGAGAGCTTTAAGTGCAAGACATTTTTAGCCCCACCCAATAATGGAATACAGCCCCCAAGCGTCTCTGGAATGGAATTTGGTCCTCCTGCCCCCCTAGACTAGAAGATCAGGGCTTGTTGTCCTGGCTACATCCATCTCCTCTTCCAGGCCGCTGCTTCACCTGGTAGACCAGGGCAGGCACACAATATCAGTAATAGTCAAGCAAGCCACAGTCTGCTAGCAGCCACATACTGTGACCTGCCCAGGAGTTGGTTGCTACCCTGCCTTTGCATTCCTATGGCAGGCAGGTACCCCCAAAACAGGAGATTTAACCAGGCCCTCATAGACCAATGGATAGGAACAGGTAGAATGAAAGAGACGCTATCTCCATGCTGGCTGGAGATCATGGGATCTGTAATCAAACAAACCCAGATTGGAGAAAGCTGTTCTGCACTCAGCATCTTCCAGAATCAAAGGGTCAAAGGAGAAAGCAGTAGGCTAAATAGACCAAGGCTGTTCTTTGTAAATATTATCTGTCTAGAACTTTTTTGTTATTAAGAGAAATAATGGCGCTTGGATTGCTTTCATGCTTTGTATTCCTAGCATCTTGATCAAAATATGCTTGTGGGAAAGTCGATGACATTTTCTACCTCTTTCATGGAACACAAGTGTCATTAAGATGACATGAAGTACCCTTAAGAAAACACAGCAATACTTAGCATAGGGAGAAGGGTGTCAAGAGCCAATCTCTTCCTGCATTCATTCACACAAAGGCTCTTGTTCACTGTGGCAAAATTTACAATAAATACAGCCAATCTATCCATGAGAACTGCCGGAAGGTGAAAGGAGCATTAAAGCCACCTACACACCTTGATTTTCTGGAATGTAGATTGTGGGGAGGTAAAAGCAAAAGAAGCGTACACATCTGCTTCTTCCTGATCTGTGACAAAGCTAAAACGAGTCACAGCAGCTTACGTTTCATGCAAAGAATTTCAAGCAAGAGAATACCAGGACACACAAGGCAAAATTGAAAGGAGTGTTCCATTCTTGCTCAAAAAATGCCACAGGAATGTCTTGCAAAAGTGGAGCTGGGCATTCATTCAAATGCTCTACTCTATTACTGAGCCAACCGCTTTGTTGTAATGCTTCGTACATTTGGTTTCAGTCCTTTCATGCCACATGGTAAACCTTGTCATCAGTTGACAGCATGCTATAAACATCTGTTTTGTAAAAACAAGCATATAAAATAAAATAGAAAAACATGTAGTCTTAATTTTACAAAAACAAAAAAACACAACCAAACATTCCATCACCTTTGCAAGTGGACAGTGTGACTAGCTGGAGGATCAAAAAGAGGCAAAAAAGATTGTCAATGATAAAATTTGTCCCAGTGGTGCCAAAGAAAACCAAAGTGCATGGGCCACAATTACCAACCCCAAAAGGTTGGCTAGCGGCCTAATGCCTTGCAGCTTGGCTGAGATGCTCAGCCTCCTTCCCAGTGGTCAAGGCACTCTGATAACCTTCCTCAATCTGCTGAGCTGCCACCTAACATGACCAGATAACACTACCTTATGGAAGGCTGCTCTTGCTTGTGAACAGGGCAGGCTCTACTGGAAAAGGCAAGCAGAGACTAGACAGATGGATCTTGTCCCAGCCATGGAATCCCCAGTTCTTCTCTTGCCAGGATACAATACTGGTAGCTGGAATAAAGGCACCCTTCAGTCAGGGCAAAAGCATGCACAGAGAAAGCGTCTTTGTGCTGCCACACTGCATCACGTGTGACAGTCCGAGGGAGAAAACTGGTCTCCGAGCCTTTGGAACCATTTTCTTTTGAATTCCACAGAAGAGACTGTCATTGCAGAAGTCAAGGCTGAGGGACCTAAGCATCTCACTTCTCCTTGAGCATCCTCCTTCAGCTTTTCTGGGATGAGATCCTCCCCCATAGTCTGCAAGGAAGCAGGCAAAAAGTATTCAGCAAAGGGTTAAGATTTCTCATCCCAACTTTACATCTCCATCTAAAGAAAACATTGGATTTCACACTAAGCAAGAAAAATGACCAGCCCACCTGTGTAGGATACAGAAAGCCCCAGAGAGGTCTGCCTGGCACCATCATTATTTGTTTTTCGGCGCCAGCCCAAGACCTTTTTATTCAAACAGTATTTTAATAATCTTTAATATTTATAGTCTTAATTGTGCAGTCAGTGTGTTTCCAAGTTTTAGTTGTAATTGTATTTCTTTTATTTGTTGATGTGAGCTGCCCCGAGGCTATGTACCAATGGGAATGGCATATAAAAAGTTAATTAATTAAATAAACAAACTAACTAACTAATTAATTTAGTGTTTAGACACCCAGTTAAAATGACCAGGGGACAGGCATGGGAAACATCCCTCTCGTTTCATGTTCACTGCATTAATTTTATTTGTAGCCTTCCTTTCTACCAAAACAAGCTCAAGGAGGCTTGACTTACATGCACCATTCAACCAATTAAGCCAGAAGGCCAGAGTGGCATGACAGCCAAAGTGCTGAAAAATGGAGGGAACCAGGAGATCTGGGTTCTAGGCGCCACTCAGCCAGGAAAGCTCACTGGGTGCCCCAATTGCTCACTCTCAGCCAAACCTACCCCCCAGGGTGGTTGTTGTGAGGCTAAATGGAGAAGAGGAGGACTATGCAAGCTGCAGGTATGATATAAATGCAAAATAATATTAAAGCAATGGAGCAGTAAGTTAAAATACAGTAAAAACACCTAGATATGCTGCAACAGATTGCTTCTTTCTCAATGGTAGCAGAGACAAGGAGAGAGACTTCTGCATTAGGGTCTCTGAGGGAGGGGGACAGAGAGGGCTTTTGGCTCCCTCCTCCCCCAGAGATCTTCCTACAAATTGCTCTCTCCCTGCTGTTGCTAGCAGAGAGGAAGGGTCTTTTGTATTGGGTTTGCTGGGATGTGTGCATGTTGATGTTAGTCACCCCCCCGCCCCGCACACACACACACTTTCCAGCCAGCATCACAAGCTGGGCCTGAAAAGGCTGTTTTCCTGAGGAAGCCTGTGAAATGCTGGCCAAGCTCTGAGGAACAGCTCACGTTCCTTGCTGCTCTAAGAAGCCACACCTGGAATGGGGGGTGGGTTGGGAATTGCAGGAAAGCAGAAGCCAGATAGATATCAGGAGAGCTCTTGACCCACAGAATAGTCTGCCTTGGGAAGGGATGGGCTCTCCTTCACTGAAGGTATTTAAGCAGAGGCTGGAGGGTTGTCTGTCTGGGTGCTGAAGTTACAGAATTCCTGCACTGAGCAGGGGATTGTAACAGCTGACCAATTCCATACATGCATAATTTTCAGCTGACCAATTCCATACATGCATAATAAGCTTTTGACCAGGTGGCCGCCTGCTTTCCCTTCTCCAGGTCCAGCAAGAACAAAATTTATGCAAAGATGTTGGATATAAATAATTTATCCAGGGCTTAGAACTAGCACAAAAAACCTCCACTCACCTCAGTCATCAAGGACAAAAAACTTTCCTTCAGTCCAAATGATGCAATTTTGTCTTCAATCTCCTGTTGTGCCTTTAAGTTACACTCTAAAGCAAAGGAAGACTGACTGAACTGCATGAGCTGAAACAAGAGCCTGGGGATAAGGAGAGAAAACAAAACAAAAACTCAACATCTACAGCGAGGCCAAAAGAGCTCTGGCAGTCAAAAATCCACACAGGACAACACTGAAGTAAACCTTGGCTTTAATAGTGGGTGCTTGAATGGTGCAAGGGATCTGGTCCCACAGAGGAGGGAGCGCATCTTGCAAATGAGCTCTTCCTGTACAGACAAACAACTGAATGGGTCTTAGAGATGGTTTGGAGGTTCCATCAAACCGCTGCTTCTCCTAATATTCAAAACTGCAAAAGCCAGGAAGCTACTGGTCATGGAGGGAAACAGGAAAAGAAAATGGCCACACCAGGAAAGCTGGAGGGCCAAGGTGGGATGCCAGATGAGCTGCATTTGGTCTCTGGGTCTAAGGATCAACACTTCTGGTTTAAAGTGAAGCACATGAGCTGGAGCAAGCAAGCTCAGGGGAGGATTCAGGACTTCCTTTTAATCCTTGATCCCAGGCACCATTACTTGTATACTTCCCCTCCAGTATGACAAATAGCAGTTTCAGGTATTCCCACACTCAGCAGGATAGTTCAGATTGGAAAAGGGATACACATGGATAAATCCTGATTCTTCTCCAAACTTTTCATAAACGGATGAGAAGCTGCTTGTCAGGTAAAAGCAGCCTCCGCAACCCCCAACTGCTCTGAAGTAAATAATATACTCACAGATCTCCAGCATCATATTTCTGCCCTAGCACCAGAATTGTGGGTTATTTTGTACACAAAAGCAGATTCTGTTCTGTCATACCTTGCTCTAACAAAGGAAGCACAAGAATATATCCGGATGATTTCAGATCCTTCCTGTCCTGAAGAATCAAACATGTCACTCTTGGATCTGGGCTGGGCCTCTGGTTTTCCTGAGGTACTGATGGGACCCTCAGTTCTTTGGCATTGCTCACAAGAGCTTTGGGGAGAAAACTGCAAGGAGGCCTCCTTCCCCCAGCTGTATTTTTTGTCAGACTGCAAGTTGGCTTCATTCGACAAAGTGTGGGGGGAGCTTTCTTCCGGTGCGCCATCACCTTGCAATGATCCTGGCGCCTGCCAAAGTCTCATATATGCTTCACCCAGTAACTTCCAATTTTCTGGGTGAAAAGGGTGCAACATAATGAGCCCATGCAAGCATTCGATCATTTTCGCAACATGCCCCACAGTACGATAAATGGCAAGCCGCAGCCTGAGGACCACAGTTACGTGGTCAGTGTTAGTTGCGCCATTTCCCTGCAAAGAAAGAAGAAAAATATATCAAGAAGGAATCAGCGTAAATAATGTGGCATACATTTTTTACCTAAGGGTCTGGAAGAAGAGGAAGACAGAATCTCTGCTTTAATAAACACCTGCTCAAGTTTCTTTAAACATTATTTTCAAGCTTAACAGAACCAAAGAAAACCCTACACCTGACAATTCACTAGTGAAGTCACATTTGGAACGCTCCAGAAGTCAGGAGTCATGCCTTGGTGAGGGTTCCATACATGAATGATGTGCTCTTTTCCACCTCTCCAAAATTGCTCCCTCACCCAGATGTATTCAGCATAATAGTAATGACATGTTTCTTTCTGGAAACCAGTTGGAGAAATCTAAGGGGTGGGGCTGGGGGAGAAAATAATTCCATTCTTTGGCAAACTAACCAGCACACGGACATGCATGGAATAATTCTGTTGGTGGTGATGCTACAAGAAGGAAGGAACTAGAAAGCTACCAACCAGTGTTTCTGTGATCTCCAAGGCTTCCATCTGTCTCCCCAGATGAGCTAAGCAGCGAGCCTGGCTCTCCTGCACATCTCTTCTCATGGCAAGGTTACTGGGAGGCAACAACGTGAGACATCCAGAATATTCACACAGGGCCTTCTGAAATGAGATTTGCAAATGCCTGAGAGCCAGTGTGGTGCAGTAGTTACATGTGCAGGGGTGACCTGGGTTCTAGTTCCTGCTCAGCCGTGGAGCCATCTGGGTGATTTTGGGCCAGTCAGCCCAACCTACCTCACAAGGTTGTTGTGAGGATAAGATTGAGGGGAGTAGGAGAATTATGAAAGCTTGAGTCCCTTGAAAGAAAGAAAAAGGGGGGATATAAATGAATAAATGTTGAGCTGAACCATAGTGAAACTCTGAAGGATAGAGTGGGATATATTTTTGTTTCATATATTGTAAACCACTCAGAAAGTTTTGGCTATGAGGTGATATAGAAATGAAATTGATGATGATGATGATGAGGAGGAGGATATTCATAAGGGGAAACAATCCATTTGCTTAGAAATACAAGGTAAGTTTAAGGCTACCATCATATATATAGCAGGGGGATGGAATATCAGGCCTGGGACTCGAAACCATCTCACTTGAGATCTTAATCTGTTCCTCAAGGATTCCCCAGACAGCTCCATCTGCTTTTCCATGTCACCAGGTGATTCTTGGTTTTGGCTGTCCCTCACCTGCCGCTTCTTTGGAAGTTTCCTGGCTTTTGCAGGGTTTCCCACATTCCCTGTCATTGCAACGACCATCCTAAGGCCCATGAGAGGTTTAAACTCAAAACATGCTGCTATTTTTTGGTCATTTTGTCTTTGGCTCCACTGCCCTTGAAACGTAATCCTTGAGAACGTCTCCAAAACTGGATTTGGCTGCAACACCCCAGCTATACACATTTCCCAGGCTGTCAACTCCACTGAACTCAGCGGGACTCAACTGCTAGTAAAAATGTTCTGCGCACTTGTTAGAGCAGTACAATAATGGAACCAATGACCCAGAGAGGTTGTGGACTCTCCCATCTTAGAAGCATTCAAAGTGCACCTGGACAGCCATCTGAGAAAGATGGTTCAACTTGGTGTTCTGCACTGAGCAGGGGGTTGGACCCCATGGTCCTCTGGCCCCTTCCCACTCTGCTATTCTATGATTCTATGTACACGATTGCACAATACCAGCAAAAAGCCCAATGAACAATTTGGACACCTTGCTTGTAATACTTTAGGAACTGCTGCAATTAGTCCCCAGAGGGAAAAGCAAGATGTAACATTTTAACCATATCAAAAGGGGACAAATTATAAAATCCCTTTGATCCGGGGCCAATTTTGGGCATGACTGTGAAAGTGAATCAAGAACAAAGTGTGCTAAATTCATAGCATCCACTTTCCTTGCAGGAAAATGTAAACATGAAATGGGGAGACAATACCTTAAATGCCTGTTGCTTATATGCCAAATCTCCTCTGAATTTTTTTACATTGGCAGTTTCAGCATCATCCTCGCAGCTTGTTTCCTCACAAAACCACTGCGGAGGGAGAAAATTGGTCAGTTTTTGTCATGAAGCAACTGAGCAAGTGCAATGTAAAGATTAAAACCGAAGCATGGATGGACTCTCCTGTTCCATGTACGTGCATTCATTTTTGCAGCTCATCTTGCAGCAATGCTAAAAACATGCTGGACCAATCCCAGGGTCCATCATTCTGTGCACACACTGGTCAAGTAGCTACCATGGGGATCCCACAAGCAGGACATGAGTTCAAGAGTACCTCCTTGCCCATGCTCCTCTGAAAATGATATATATAGGCAATTGGTATCCATCACTACATCTCTTGGAAGTGAATCCCAGGGTGCTGCGTGCAGGTCCCTCCTTCTACCTGTCCCGAATCTTCCCCCCATCTCCCACTCAAGGGATGCCCCCAGTTCTAGTATTACGGAAGAGGGAGAAAAGGGTCCCCTCTCCACTTTCACCACACCACGTGCAGTTCTGTGCACCTCCGCCATGCCTCTCCTTATTTGCTAGTCTATCCCAGCTGTCATAACCTTTTCAGTTGAGTCCTTCAGCACCTTCCCCCCTGTCCAACACATCCAGACACAGAGACTATTTTCACTGTCCAGGTCAGACTAATGAACTAGGCTTGTCTTGCCTATGACAGAACATTGCCAGAGTTTTTTTGTGGCAAACTGAGAAATGCTCAGTGGCAAACTGAGAAATGCTCAGTTTTTTTAAAGTGCTTCAAGACTGTGGAATTTTTCCAGCAAGAGATTTAAGACTGTAATCCTACACAATGGTGCCTCAAAATTCGAATGTCCCTAAGTTTGAACATTCCAGAGTTTGAATGCTAAAACCTAGATAAAATCATTCCAAAGGTTAAATGATGCTTCTAAGTTCAAACGGGAGGTGCAATGGGGAAAAAATGCTTCTGTGCTTTTTTGATTAATTTTCAATGCCTTTTCGATTGTTCTCAGTGTCTTTTGAGTGAGTGCCTCTTCAGTGCTGTTTTGATCATCCTCAGTGCCAAAATGGGTATTGTTTAGGGTCTGGGAACAGATTAATTCACTTTCCATTATTTCTAATGGGAAACATTGCTTCAGCCTTCTAACAATTCAGAGTTCAAACAGCCTCCTGAAATGAATTAAGTACAAAGCACAAGGCACCACTGTATGTACTTAGCAGGGATTAAGTCCAGATAAACTTGCTAGATCTTACTTCTAAGTAGGCAATTAGGATTGCAGTGTAAGACAACTGCTGCTCTTGTGCAGTTCCCTTCTTCAGGGCTGGCAACCTCACACCCTCCAGGTATTCCAAAGTACAGCTCCCATAATCTCTGACCACTGACCATGCTGCTTGGGGGTGTCTGAAAATGCAGACCAAATCATCTGGAGGGCCACAGGTGGCCCAGTCCTGAAACATGACCAATGTCCAGTGCCACCAAACTGCTGTCTTTGGTCAAGGGGTGGAGTAGCCCCTTCTAAGAGCAGCAGCTACAACTGGGGCTGTTCAGCTTAGGAAAAAAAGGCAAGAAAGAGGAGACACAATAGAGGTGTTAAGAATAATGCATGATGCGGAAAAATCTCTCCCTCTCCCAAAACACTTGAACTCAGGGTCATCCCATGAAGTGGATTGGTGGGAGGTTTAGGACAGATATATGGTAAGTCACACAGAGAACCCAAATATGGGCTATAGTAGTGGCATAGCCATCGATAGATAGATAGATAGATAGATAGATAGATAAGGGAAGGAAGTACTTCTTCACGCAACATATAGATATTCTATGAAATTTGCTGCCATGGGGTGATGGCCACCAATGTAGAAGGCTTTAAAAGGGGCCTGGAGAAATTCAGGAGGGAGGGAGGAGGTTATCAGTGGCTATTAGCCTTACTGGGTGTGTGCTACCTCCTTTTCCAGTTGCAGAGGGGTTTAGTCAAATGGAGGTCTTGCACCCCTCCTGCCTGAGAGATCCTTTGGGCAGCTGGTTTGCCATCATGGGTACGGAGGGCTGGACTAGATGGACCTTTGGTCTGATCCAGCATCACTTTTATGTTCTTACCTTTTATCCAGCCCCACACACAGAACCTCCCAGAGTCTACCTGAAGATAAGCTCACCTTTGTTCATGTGCAAAGTGCAAAATCCTTCCAGAGGCTAGCTGAAATTAAGCACATCTCTGAGCGTGTGCAAAGTACCTCACCCCCCCCCCCCGGTTCGGCAAACAGTGTATCTACTAGGCTAGAATTTGAGAGGCAAAAAGAGGCAGGAAGGCAGTATCTCTAGAACATTAATAACAAAAATAACTGATTTAAAGAGCACAGAGCCGAAGGGTCTTCACTTTCCTCTCACCTCGGGCTCGCAGCGTCGGGCACTATAGGCAAGGGGCAGCGAGGCGCGGCCGTTCCGGCTCCGGCAGCTCCCCTCGAAAACCGACTCCTCAAACTCGAATCCGAACGGTGCCTCCATCCCAGCCAAGTGCCGGGACAGCGAGTACTCGGCGGCTAGAGCGGCTTCGCCGGGACCATAGAGAACTACGCGGCTTGGAACGTTTCGAGCTGTCAGAGGCTCTCCCATATAGATTTACAGAGAGCGGCGAGGCTTGTCGTGTAGACAAGCACGCAGGATCTAACTTCCGGGTTCCCCAGTGAAACGGTTCTTTGTTCTCCCCGGTGTAGAGCCATATCGGTGGGGAAAAGCCAGGATTTTAGGCCAGTGTGGCTGTGGTTGAGGAGCAATACCCACTTCGGAGTGTTCTTTTCTTATTTTCTCTTCTCTTTTCTTCTCTCTTTCACAGCTCCAGGTGTCTATATACGCATGGCTGCGGAGTGCCACTGAGAACTGCTAGCTGGGAAACAAAAACGGGAAGCTGCGAGACGCAGGTAGGGCAGCCTTCTTCAGCCTGGTGATCTCAGGATTTTGGGGCAGTACTTCCCATCAGCCCCAGCCAGCATCTCCAATAGTCAGGAATGCTATAACCTGTAGTCCAAAACATCTGGAGAACACCAGCGTGGAGAGGGTTGTTTTAGAGGGTGAGAAAACCTCAGAAGTAACAACGTGCCTTGCATGGCATCTTCAGAACAAACCAACCCACCATTTATATCAGTTACTAATACTTTTGAACAACTAAGTAGAATAAAATCCCTAAACTTTACAGTTTTTTAAAAAATAAGTGATAGACTTGAAATATATTAAATTGCCACTATAAATTTCTATATCTCGATTGGATTAGATAATTCTACATCATTGAAGAATGCATTTCCAATGCAATTTGCGACGTACAATGATAAGCGGAAGTTTAGATTTCCGTCGCTCTGATCTTGCCTCTTGCTTTACCTGTACGGTAGTCTTAGCGGCGTGGCCTACTCAAAGGGAACCTGGTTGCTTCTATTATTCACCTGGCCGGTGAGCCGAATTACAATTCTCATGTCTGGGGATTGTGGGAGTTGTAGTCCAACACACGTGGAGCCGTCAAAGGTCTTCACTGCCTAGGGATACTGGGAGTTACAGCCCAACAAGCCCGAGGGGAGCGGGCGGGCTGCAAGATTGCTCCGCTCCCTGCGGCATGCTGGGAGTTGTAGTCCGACATACCCAGATGTGGAGCTGCAGGTTGCTCTTAACCTGTCAGAGATACAGAGCCGTTGGTAACACGCCGCACCCCAGCTTGATCTAGGTAAAGGGATTTTGTTGTTAGTCGCGAACTCATGTCCGACCCATCGCGACCCCATGGACAACATTCCTCCAGGCCTTCCTGTCCTCCACCATCCCCGGAGTCCACCTAAGCTCACGCCGACTGCTTCAGTGACTCCATCCAGCCACCTCATCCTCTGTCGTCCCCTTCTTCTTTTGCCATCTATTGTTCTTGGCCTCAAAATGCTAGGCTATTCCCTCTCATGACACTTAAGGGAACTCGCTGCCACAAGATGTGGGTAATGGCTGCTGGGGCTGATCATCTGATGAAGCTGGACAATGAGAGATTAAAGGCACGATTAATCTAATGGAATTTGCTGCAAGATGTGAAGAGGGCCATCCACTCAGATAGCTTTGAAAGGAGATGAGGAAAAATGATGCTCACTTCCGACTGTACATTATGAAAGCAACTCTGCTTCTGTTTGAGCCACTTCCACCTGCAAAACATCACCTGCATGTTTGCTCAGAAGTAATTTCCACTGTATCCATTGGGCATTACAGCCCTAGACATACATGCTAGGGAGTAAGTTTAGTCTTACTGGCTGTGCTTCAGGTGAGCCCTACCTCTGTGGACAACATCCAGGCTGAATCCCATTTAAGCCTCTGGCTGGCTGGCTCATGAATCCCCTCCAAATTGGAGAAACTGACATGGGCATTTCCCTGCATGAGGTACCAGATGGAATGCTTGGTATCACACAACGTTATCATTTCCAGCAGGCCTTTCCTTGCCCCAGCCTGTGTCCTCTGTCCTCCAACTGTGTTGGACCACACTTCCATAATTTCCAGCCAGGAAGACATGCTGAGAGCTTGCATTTTAAAGTGTCACATCCTCGGAAATAAATTTCTTTCAGCTTTTAATGTTATGACTTAACCTAAGCCCTTGGGGGCAGGATAGGACAAAAACACATCTAAATCCAACAAGTGCAGGAGACATAATACTGCATGATAATTTTTGGAACTTTTAGATTCCAAAAATATTACTCAACAGTGTGTGCATGCAGGATTGGGGATGCAGTACTGAGCTGCACAATAGCATCAATACACTTCTGTTTCAGATTGTTAATTACTTAGCACTATTTTTTTTAAATGCTAGCTTAGAACTTGCTATATAATTCATTTTGATATAGAGAAATAGAGACTGTTTAAAATCAGTGCAGTTAACTAGGGAATACATTTTAAATAAGTCTTAGAAAGATCAAGGCATGAATATGCACATAAAGCTGGCTCTTTCAAATCATATTTAAAAAACTCTGAAAAAGATAGTCATACAGTGTCATTACTCAGAACTATTGTTTTCTGATTGGTGAGCCTTTGTTTTTTGCCCCTGATTTGATGCAAAACTAGTTCAATGAAGAATTCAATTAGCTACCAAGCAAATTTCCAAACTTTGAGTTTCCTGCCAAGGTTAAACCCTGGAATATGTCTGTGTTTCTCACAATCACTTGTCCCCCAGGATAAGTATTGTCATCTGTTTTGAGAACCTGAAGGTAAGGCAGGTGGTGAGCTTGACCTGCTGAATGAAAGAATGGCAGGAAGTAATTGCACTGGGATCTTCTTAGGGATTTTCAAGGTTTCACACAACACAATTACAGCTCTCCAGCTGTCACCACTAAGACCTCCCTGCAAAGACAGCTGGCCAGTGCCTGAAGCCCATGAATATTTGAACCAACTTCCTGTCCCCATGCAACTCCACGTATCCGAGCTCTCCCTGATTCTCTCCTAGCACAGCAAGGAAGGTGGACTGCACAATGCAGAAGTTAGAAAATGGCATGGGCTTGATAGAAAAGTACAGCAGGCAAGAGATAAGAGTCCCAGTTGGTTACTTATGCAGGTCGTGAACATGAACTTGCTTCTGTGTTGTGGATTTTTGTTTTTAGGGCTACCACAGGTACAGACTTAACACTGTGACTACAGTGAAGTATAAACAGACTCCCTGATCATGAAAACACACAACATTTGGAGAATTGCAACCTTGCATCTTCCAGATGTTTTGAACTCAAGCCCCCAGAATTCTTGGCCATTAGCCATGCTGGCTATGGCTCATGGAAGCTGGAAGTCCAAAGCATCTGGAGGGGCTCATGACAGGGAAGTCTGCCTTAGAGAAAGCAACTGGGGATCAATAATTAAGGAATTCCCAAAGTCCCCATTTTGGATGGAAGCAAGGGTAGTGATGTATCTTTCATGTCCATTTAGGGGCTTCATTTGATCTTCCTTATAAAGCAAAACTCTCAAACACCATTTTAATATACTTTGTGCAAACTGACCTACAGGATTGCTTCCAAACAGTTTCAGGACATTGTGTTGCCTCTTTGAAAAGCAGTCCAAATCCGCTGGTCTATTAATGCATTCATTGCTGTAATTCTATTTGATTTTCACTTAAAAAAAATGGAAAATCAATGAACGAGAATTACCATGGAATGCTGACCTTTATTTGTGAAAAGAACACAAATCAAATATGGGCAGATTTCCTTCCCCAAATACCTTCAGCTTGCAAGGCTCAGATCAGCACCAATCTTGTAAAATGGACACAGAGAGATAAAACTATTTGCAGTGACAGGGCGTTCTTGTGACAGTGGAGAGGAGTGTTAAAATAGAGTCGTAGGCTTCATGGTACAGCATCTGAAGGCATGTCAAGTAATTGTATGAACTATGAAAAATGTTAGTCACAGACCCAAGTTCACAATCAGCTAAAATTAAAATTAAAAAGTAACACAGTAACTTTACAGCAGACAGTAGAGCCATAATGCCTGATTGCTGCTGCTTGATTTTTCCACTCCATCCATCCATCCATCTGGGGGCATTTTTAACCTTACAGCTTACAGCAATGTACCTCAATAATCCTTTGATTATTACAGCAAACCACAGATCCCCTTGCTTGGTTTTCTCACCTCTAAACGTTCAGAGGCACTTGAAAACCACAGTTAGAATTTTGTATACACCAAATGGTTGGATTCTATAAATTATGAAAGCCAGCTTCTGACTTTCAGTATGCATTGTTTGCAGTTGCCGCGCTGTCTTAAGGACCAGAAGCTTGGTTTTGTTTAGCAAAACTCAGCTCATTCATACTAGCACAGTGTGATCTGTCCTTCCCACACACAGAGACACAAAGCATACTCGGCCTACTTGGGAAGGAATGGTGTGTCTCATCTAATGCCATCAAAGGGACGTGCTTTGACTATACACTAGCTACCTTGTTCTGAATGTATAAAGGACTCACTGATCCTGCTTGAGAGCAAGTAAAGACAGGCAGGTCCAGTCTGTGCTATTTGATCTGTGATGGCTTATTCATACCTGCAAGTCATGAAATGATGCATGGGTGCAGGTGAAGCGGTCCTTTGACAGTCTATGCACACCTGTTGGACAATAAAATAGATCTGGCAGGAGCGACTGTCCCTGCCATTCCAGTCTAACTATGCTGTCTAGCTACACCAAGAAGTAAAAATGCTGTCTCTGGACCATGGGTGCAAAATTCAGGCCCAGAGGTCAAATACAGCCCTCTGGGACTTCCCAGAAGGCCATGTTCCTTCCCCTGGTTCCACTCCCTTTCTTCCAACCACCAGTTGTTTGGTGCTTCCCAGCTCATTTGCATCTTCCTGCAAATTAAGAGTGTTAAAATGCTTCTCCCCAGGTATGTTTTCTAGTGGTAAGAACGTTAAGCAAAATCGGCCAGTACTTCTGGCCCTCTCCCACCACTGGAATGCAACCTCCAGGAGCTATTCCAAAAAGAAGTTTGGTTCTCTGATGGAAAGAGGTTCTGCACCCCAGCTTTGGACGTTTGGAACAAGACAACCTCTGGATTCAGTGATAACTGGAAAGCTGAGCAGCACTGAACGATCACATTTTAAAGCAAAAGTAGAGCACAACTTTTTAAAAAAGTTTACTAATATGAAACAGTAAAGCTTCCTTACAGAAAACTCACCCACCAAGCAGGTTCAGCAGTTGGCCTGATCCTTAAAGCACTAAATGTTTCCACAAAAATGAATTGTCTAGCTTTAGGCAGCTAAACAGTTATGGGACTACCACTTAACTGTGGAATATTGAGAAATGGTTAATATTACAATATAAAGTAGCAGTTTATTAAAAAAGAAAATTAGCATGCATATTCAAGATGGTTCAGGAGCTTCCTTATTAACAGATGAATGCTTTGCTTTTTTAAGACAAAAAGATAATATATATTTACAATGATTCTTGTTCAACAAGTTGCATAAAGCAAACTGATGGGATGGTTACAATGTTCCAGTACTTTCTAGCATTATTCAGGTATAGAAAAGGCTTGTGTATACTCTTTAAAAAAACTTTTTTTTAATCAAAGTAATCCATGTTCTTTGTAAAGAAAAGCTGAATTCTGTGACCACTATACAATATGCAAAATTGGATTCCAAACTTGCATCATTTCATCTGGTTGTAACATGCCTTAGGAAGAGCATTGAATCAGAACGACAGCTCAAGTTGCAAGCCATGAAATTCTATTTAGTCAACCCGATGGCTTCTCAGATTTCATTAGTAATATGCACATATTTTTACACACATCTTTTTCACCATAAAGTCAGACTTCTTTTTCTTTCTTTCCTATATTTTGAAAAGTAAAAGCCATTGTTTTGGGGCAGCTGAATCCTGTACTGTGTATCACCTTCTGTGCCTAATTTGGCTCATCTGCAGAACCAAAAAATAGACACAAAGAGTGTTGCATCTGGATTTTTAACCAACTCCTCCTTCAACATGGAGTCCAGTTGAACAGTACTAAGCAGGCAATTTTAAAATGCAGTCATATATCAGCAAAATTAACATTTTGATTTTGTAAAGTTTTAACGATGGAACACAGACCCAACTGAGTGAGCAAGCCTGTGCATAAATATTTGTGTAATCAAATCTGTAAAAGGTAAGTGTCCAGTTCTGAGTGAATTGTGTCCAAAAGTTCAACATTCCAATGTCTTTCCACATCCCTTGCTCTGTACCAAACCTCTATTAAATTGTCTCCTTCCACCCTGCATTTAGGTGTGCAAAAATACAATACTTTTTACAGTAAGACTATGTAATCAATGGCCCAGCGCAGGACATCAGCCCAGTCTCAATGCCTAGCAGAGCTTCCAGCCCCACCGCAACACACACACATACCTCCTTATTACAGGCACCCGATTTCTCCTGCAAAGCAGTGGCACAGGCAAAGGGTTCCTTGGCCCTCTCCGTGCCAGGGTTGTCCTCTTATACATCTCCATGGCTCACTGTCCTCCAAGACTTAAAGACCGTAAGGCCAAAATATGTGGAGAAGGGAGTCCTTGCCCTGTGCCCAACCTGAAAGGAAGTAGGGGTCCATTGGTAAAGGCAGTGTCACCAAGTCCATCAACCATGGCTCTATTAGAAATATGCCCTTGGTTAAAAATCAGTTGGCATTCCTGACTTATATGCTGCAGATCATTAAAAAATGTCAGGGAAAATGACTTGTGTGTATGAAAACATTTTCTTATTCTTTCAGTTTTAGGTATGGAAGGGAGAACATACAGTGGACTGTGCGTACAAATAGGTATCATTTGTGGTATTTATTTGTTCCTGAGGGTACCTTCTGTGCTTTTTGCACCACAAAAAGACTCTGTCCCTGCCATGTTTGCTGAAATATTATGGGTCTCAGTAACAACTGCTCTGAAAGCAATCTGTTATTTACAGAATCTTACAAGATGTTTAACTAGCACACTGCATCTTCCACATGTTTTTAACTGCTGTACAAACAGGTATGAGCATGTACAAATCCTGATAAAGAAGACACAGAAATATCCGTTAAGTGTACTTATTTCTAAGAACTTTTACTCTGTAAAATGTTTGGTCACTCAAAGCTATAAGCTTAAATCACATATCAAAGAACACAGGCAATAAAGCCCATTTTTATACTAAGAACATACATTATCAGTACAAGCCAGACAAAAATCTAGTGGTTGTAGTTCCTCCTTTTGCATAAAGTTCTTAAAAACATGAAACTTTCTACTGTGTAGTAACAGAAATGTTTTGCATTAAAATCTGATCCCCCTTTTATTTTACAAGTTGTTATCAGACCTTCTGCCAATTGTAGTCGTTTTAGCTTTGGCACAACACAGATGATCTGATTCTTGTGGCATGTTCCAATCTTGGGGTTCTGTGTGTCCAATTCTTTTCTTGCTTCCACAAAAGATCAGGGCCTTCCCTGCCACCACTGTCCAGAACTCCTGGACTTACAAATATCTCCTCCCTCCAACCCAAGCCTTCCCCAGTGCTCTTGCTTCTCCTTTGGGAAGCTGGAAAGGAAGAACGGGGTCAGCCGCTGTGCATGAACCTAGGAAAAATCTTCACTTCTGAGGTCACCTGCAGTTACAGTGCATCAATAAAGCAGATTTCGTAACCCTCACTTGTGATGATCCCAGATTTTTACCAGTGGTTACATTAAGTGCCATTTTCATGATTCGATGCATCACAGCACACTCACTGAAACTGCCGATTTGGACAAATCAGATGTTTATTTGTAAGTACTGAAAAAACTGCAGGAGCTTCACTGAAGTTAATCTGCAGTTTTCAATGCCTTGTAGTATATTCAGTGCAATTATTTCACCCTGTATTGCCCCAAACATTTCCTATGGAGAACCTGCAATTACTTGGATTGCGTTTTCCAGAAGTTTGGAAGAAAGCCACCATGAAAAACAAAACGCCAAAGGAAGTCCTGCAGCGGAGTCATGTCACAGTGCCGGTCACAGCCTCACAACATTGTGCTTGTAACGCTATCCTTTTTAGCAGAATTAGGAAAATTGGGCTGTAAACAAATGCAAGTTGAAACAATATCCCACAGTACTGTGAGGCCTAACTTGCATTGCCAAGTTAGGCCTCACAGTTCTCCCTCGCTCTCTCTCACACACACAGAACTTTAAAAACGGAAATATGAATGGAAAGAGAGTAATACAGGGGTTGTTTAACCAGTGCTAAAATGATTTTCACCTCTGGGAAGTGAAAATGGGCTCCATGAAACAGATGAGCCAGAACCAAAGAGTTGCCAGGTCCTCAGTGCTTTAACAAGGGGCGGGCCTTTGCAAAGCACAAGGCAGAGCTGAAAGTCCCTCCATTGCCTTTCGAAGCTTCCTCCCTTCTTGAACGATCGAAGTGGAGGTGCCTGCATTGGCTGACAGAACTTCTGCTTTGTGTTTTGAATCCATGTGCCCCAAGGAGAGTCCTCCATTCTGCCTTCTTTTAGATTAAGTATCTACACTTTATTCTTTTTTAAAGCATCTCATCTCAAATGTTGCCTGTAGTACTGCCATCAACCAATGAAGGGATTTTGAATGGTCTTTAACGTGCATGGCTCTCTGAAGATGCACAAGGCTGAAAGTGGCTTACAAGCTAAGGATAAAACCTAAACATATCATGGTAAATGCCATCCTTCAAAGAGCATGCCAGAACCAAAATAACCTCAAAAATAAACAAATGCACTCCAAAAGCCTCAAGTCTATAGTCTTCAAGATGTTTCGGCCTACACTTCCCATCAGCCCTAGGCAGCAGAATAGGAATTTGTTATATTTATCTCCCACCTTTCTCCCAAGGAATCTGCAGCAGTGCACATGATCCTCCTCCTCTCCAGTTCATGCTAACAACAAACCTGTGAGATAGGTCAGGTTGAGAATTAGTGTTGAGCCTGAAGACACCCAGTGAGCTTCATTGACTGAGTGAGGACTTGAACCCAGATCTTCCAAGTCCCAGTCCAAAGCTCTAACAACTATACCACACTGGCTTTCTGTAGATCAGAACATCTAAAGGGCCACAAGTTGCTCTGAACTTAACCAGTCTAGAAAGACCTACTAAGAGAAGCTTGCAGCTTTGGGAAGGCCCAGTTAAAATCCACGCTACAAGAAACCTGACTCTTTCCTTATAAGAATCTAACATGTATTTCATGTTTTTGAAGAAAAATTCACAATGCATTGTGGTTCCTTTGGCATTGTTGGCAAAACCTGCATTATATTTGCCAAGTACAGCTTTATAAACCTACAGAATATTACAAGATTCTCAACCAGGACATTGTCTGGAATTTGAAATGGAGTCTGTGTTATTGGACCTTACAGGCAGGAAAGTTTCAAAGTGAGGGGGCCCAATCCTGAAGTGAAAAGTTCCAGATATCTCTGGATCACAACCATTGCTAGGCACTTTATAGATTCAGGGCGCATAAGACACAGGTATGCATGCAACTTGCATGAACTACTTTATATCTATGTATGCAAGTGAAGGAGTAACTACTAGGATTTAAACTTCGCAGAAAGCAAAGCTAAGCAATAAATTGCCTATTCATATCACACAAAATAAAATAAATGTTTCAGGATAGATCTCTACGCATCTTTAGAGATCCTTACAGGTTTCAATATTTCATCACCTGGCTGGTGAATACTGGAGGTTGCAGGAGTTTTTTCTAACCGTGCTTAGGTTGGCACCCTTAACAACTCTGTATCCAAATCATCCCAAATCAGCAACTTCTATTCAGTTAAAATTAATTTGTAGTGGCTGTGAGTTGTTTTTCATGAGCCCTTTCAAACATATTCCTAAAACCAGCATTGTGAAAAAGCATCATATCATATCCTGTCAAAAGCGAAGCAAGAATGAATCAGGAGGTCACCCCAAGTAATTTGACAATTCCCTGTCCCTAAATGTCAACAATTTGTCTTTGATTCATTGCCCCAAGGATTTGGAACTTCTTCCAGTAGGAAAAGGCCAATTTCAATTTCAAAGAAGCTTTCGGGGGGGGGGGGGGGGGCTTTTGGCAGCAGGCAACATCAAAGACAAAATGGGTGGACCCCAAAATACAACTCTCCTCCATATTGCAAAGCTTTTAGTTTCTGTCATTAAGACTTAGGAGAGGCATCTTAAACCACACAAAAGCCGGGGAACTAGCAAAGAGAGGTGGTAGGCCAAAAACAAATACAACAACAGTGGGACCCTCTGGAGAACTCTGGACAACTGGACTGCATGTGCACTTGCCCATCCTGAATTACCTTTTCCAGCAATCATCATCATCTCCATAAATTCAATTCAAAGATCAAATAAAATTGGGGTGGACAATTACATTTGGGGATTGCAGTCTAGAATATACGGAGAGCACCAAATTCAAGACAGCTTGGCTGGGTGAACGTGTCTCAAGCCACACGCTGCCTCTGGTTCCCCTTCAATGCCAATTGTGATGTACACTTTTGATATAGGAGAACACTGCACCCGGTCCCACCCAAAGCTTTTGAACTTCAGTGCCCATCAGCTCCAGCCAGCAGAGCCAACAGCCAGGAATCCTGGATGTTGCAGTCCAAGGCATCTGAAGGCACTAGGTTGGGGAAGGCAAAGCCACCATGTCAGTGTGATTCCCCAATGTCCTTTTCACAAAGGACATTCTGTTATGGAAGCTCCACTGCAAGAGGCATCATTTCACATTGGCCCAGGACCAAACCAGTTCCAAAGAAATACATACAAAAGACTTGTGGGATGGCAGGGAATAGCTTTTTGAGGACATTGGCACGTTAAGAAGAAAAGAGGAATGGCTCCCGTTTGCAAGCAATAATTAAGTGAGCATCCTTCAAGCCCGAACAGACGCAAGGAAGAAGAGTCTTTGGGTGTGCACCAGAAGCAGCTTGTATGCCAGAGGCTGGTGGTGCTGCAGCCCTGCCTCCTTTTCAACCATGGCTGGCCTCTCAGGAGCCAAACTGGGCAAATGCACACTCTCTGGAGCAAAGGCCCTCCTCGCTTTCCTTATTGACATGAATTAAATTTATAATTTAAATGACAAGAATGGCATGGAGGGCAGCTAAAATAAACTAAAAGAAGGTGCAAATAGAAGCTTGATGTAAACACAATTGTGAAGGCGCCTGTAAAAAGAAATAATTGAGAAGGGCTGCCAAGGACAGGGCATTTTACATAGCTTTCATTCATAGGGGTGCCATAAGTCGGATGGCATATAATAATAAATAATACACAATAGAATAAGAAGAAATAATGGCACCCAGACAGTTGAAACATCTATCGGCAACAAACCAGCTTGCATGCCTGAATTTAAAAAAAAAGTATCCACCTGCGTGGAGGAAGGCAACAAAAAAGGGAACCAACCTAGCAATCCTTAGCAGAGAGTTCCAGAGCTGGGAGCCACCATGAAGAAGCCCTGTCTAGAGTCCCTACCAAACAGTCCTCCAGTGGTGGAGCAGTCAAGAAAAAGGCCTGGCACAAAGACCTTAAAATCCAGCAGACTCGTATGGAAGATGCTCCAAATTGCATAGGGTTTTATATGTCACAACCTGCACATGCCCAGAAACAGACAAGTAGCAGTGAAACTGCTGTACGCCTAATAAGGGAGGCGGATGTGCCATGCAACCAGCCCTGATCAACAGTCTGGCCGCAGCTTCCTGGAGTTTCTGAATACCTTGCAAAGGCAGCCCCACATAGAGCACATTACAATGTTCCCGAAGGGGTACAGCTAAGACATGCATTGCCATGGCCAGATCAGGCATTTCCAGGAACAGTCGTAGTTGGAATATTAGCCTCAACTGGACAAATGCACTGCGAAGCACCACCTAAAACGTGTGCACCTAGTTTCAGGGATGAATCCAGGCGTACACCTGACCCGTAAACCTGAGTCATGGATTACAGTTTAGCTGGCATTTCTGGTGCACAAACACAAAATAATTGTCCTTGGATAATAGCAGGATCTGAAATCTAAATACGAGGAAGTTTGCAAGGTAGATATACGAGTTTCTTAACGAGTTAAGCGTTATAATTATAGTTGACGCACAGGTGATGCTCAACTATGATTAACAGCCATGGTGGAAGGGAGGAGGAAACAAATAGGCTGGCTTTCAAGGCTGGAAACCATGGTTTCCTGGAAGCCAAGACTGCATCAGCACCAGACCAGGAGGCAGGACTTCCATGCACACTTGATATCTTGCTCCTTTAATTTTAACGAATTAAAACAAAAGTTCCTCTACACTGACTTTTAAGTTGATTCTTTAAATATAAGGGAAAATGCAGATTTTGTGTACTATGACTGAACAACAAAGAAAGAATTATCCACAAAAGATTAAAGCACTTTGGGAAACAAAGCCAAATAATGTTAAGAACTGTAAAAAGAGAAAGGGTTGCAGAAGTAATCAAGTCCATGAATATATTTTTGTGAAGACTCATCAATCTGGCTGCATAAATTCACTTGCTTAGGCTATTACTGCAAATGACAAGAGAAGTAACTGAGAACTGCACAAATTATTTAGCAACACCCAAAGCTGGAATGGCAGGAAATATGACTGTTCTTTATCTTGTTTAATTCATACATTTAAAGGCACATCCAATGCAAGTTCAGGCAGAAAAAATGCCTTTTTCTGTCTAAACTTCCAAAGGCTTGAGTCTTAAATTACTGTCCAAATCATGCTTTAAAAATAATCTAAAATATTCCTATCTAAATTGGTAGCTCCATTTTTATCTCTAGCTTTTAATGCTGTTTCAGATCCAGGGCACTGTGAGTTCTTGGCTAACTCTTCCCATCTTCAGAGAGCCTGGATCAGGCCACTAACCTCCAGTCTGTATATGGAGCAGCGTGCAGAATGAGAATGGAGCTCTTTTAGCCTGATGGCCGAATTCCATTTTGCAGAAGTTCTTGGAGGCCATGTTCCAGAAGTGGGTGAGCAGAGCCAAAGACCAAGGGGGCAAGAAATATATATATAAATAATGCAGTGACAAATTTTTACCATCAATAGCTACACCTTAGGAGAGGCATTTCAACCTTTAAGAATGGAGGGAAATGGGACAAGAGCTGGGAAACCACCAAACATATAGTGACTGGGGAAAGTGGGTGCAGCCAGGGGAAGGGCCATGACCATGGGGAGAACCTGGGGATTCAGAGCCCAGGTGAGCCCAGTTTGGCCCATGGGCTTGGTATCATTCCTGATGTTCAATCTGCAGTGCATTTTCCCCCACAGTGAAGGTCATTTGGAGAAACAACCACTTAAATGTTGTGGTCTTTTGGCATTGTTTTACTTAAAGCACCACCCAGGGATAAAGCGCTCTCACTTCCAACCAAGCTTGCATCAGCTTGATTTCACTCTTCAAAAGATTACAGGCTCAGAGCAAGTGAAGCAACCTGAGCTGCTTGTCTGGTCTTACATTACATGCATTCCATGAAGCTTCAAACCACAGGTTCCTTGATACAGAGTCTTGCAATGAAAACATCTGAGAACTGTTGTTCCTAAACAGAGATGAACAAGTGAAAGCCTAAAACCCTGTTCAATTCTGCACCTTCTGTCTCTTCTTGGGCTTGTTCAGAAAGCGTAAGACAACATCTGATAGCTGGCAGGTACTCTCCTTTCAGGAAATGAGAGGAAATGGCCAGATAAGCAGCTATGACATGCAGCCTGCTTTTGCACGACATCCCTACTTTTTAGTAAGATGCAAAGACCCTCTTTCAATCTGGCAGGCATCTCTCCCAAGGAGGGTTACAAGGATCAGCCAAGTTCAGCAGTCTGTGAGTCTCCCTGGCTAAAGAACAGGAGTAGCCATGATCAGGGAGTAACTGATCCCCACAGGATGAAGGGTTTGGCCATTACACTTTTAAACAAAGTAGACCATATGGTCCTTTCGTTTTGTTCCTTTCATGAATGAGGCATACTATACAAGATTGGGGAGGGTGCTTTTTGTACAGAAGCAACCCATTAATGTTTTCCAAAAGAACTGTGTAATCAAAGACAAGTTTTGGTATTGGCTTCAATAACTGTGTCTAGTAGTTAAATACGATATACACTGATTTTAATATAAAAACGTATTTCAGACCCACACTCCCTGAACACAGCTAGAGAGACACATTCAATATGACTTGTGTAAACCTAGCACACAGGCTCCATATATAACAAAGATATTCCTTTTTCTATTGCCCTACACGCACCCGTCCCCATACAAAACCTCAAGCAATTACCACCCCCCTACTGCTTCTCTCCTTTGGTATCCTTTACCCCAATCCATCTCCGCTTCTCTGTAAATTTTTGCTTATGCTTGCAGGGAAGAAAACTGGCATGCAGTTTCACAAAATCAATACTGTAAGCACATGTTTGTTTTTCATTTTGCAGTTGTTTTCCTCTTGCAGGAACTGGAAAACATTTTTTTTAAACGTATCTCCGTTCTTAAAAGGATTTTTGGAATCAAACATAAGGCAATTAGCATCCCTTAAATGGTGTGCCCCATCAGTAAAGATGGGAAGCAGTGCCCAATTTGGGGAGGCTTTGTCATTCCAAAGTGTGTGTCGGGGGGGGGGGTTACAGCATGAGTTGGCAATTCACTTCTCCCTTCCAGATGGCTCAAATGCTAAGCAAGGTAGTCCCTCGAACTAGAGGGCCAGCACCAGTCATTGGCACCGCATGGTAAGGTTACATTCCCCAATCCCCGACACTTACACATCAGTCTGATTTTGAAAGTTTACGCCTAACATGTCGAGGAGGTTCCCAATTGTCACTGTCATCTGTTTCTTCCTCCTCCTCCTCCTCCTCCACTTCGTCATCGTCGTCATCATGGTCATCTGGCAGCTCCTCTTCCTCATCCTCCTCTTCAAACAACTGAAGGCCCTGCTCAGCTCTTCGCTGCCTGTCGCCAAACCACTCCCTGACCTGCTCATACCCCATGTGCGATTTGGCCACCAGTTCGTCAAGGTCCTGCTCATTAAGAAATTTGTGTTTCAGGTAATAATCCTTTAGGATGGCTTTTCCAGTTTTAAATTTGATGACTGGCGTTCTGTCCCAGTGTTTGATCCTTTTGTTGGCCCTCGGTCGCCCACGAGGCCTTCCTCTTCCTCTCCCCTTTGGCCTTCCTCTCCCCCTTCTCCTGGAATAGCCTTGACCATTCACACTATTTGCATTGGCCCCTTGATAGTAGTAATACCACTTCAAGCTTCCATTTTTCCAGGCATAGCGAGTATCTCCAAACCAACTAACAATCTCTGGTCGAGGAAGACCCGTTTCCTCTGCCAACTTGTCATATTCCTCTGAGGATGGCCACTGAGTCCGGACAAATGACATTTTGAGCATATGCAACTGTTCCGGTGACTTTTTAGACAACTTCATCTTAGATGCTCCAGCGCTTTCTCCCCCAGATGTGTCTACAGCTGATGCCTCCTTCAAGCAACCTGCGTTACTTTCAGTCAATTCCTCGCTTTCATCGGGGAGAACATCGGCTCTCTTTTGCTCCGCAAACCAAGCATCAATCTCTCGCCGGGTCAGCTTTGTTTCTGACCGTATCCTGTTCAGTTCATCATCTGTAAGGGTGGGATTGTTTTGGAAGCTATCTTGGAGGACTTGCAGCTCTTCAGCAGTCTTCTCTTTGCATTTCTGAGGACTATCATCAGAGGTACTCCATGACTGTTTTTGCTGTGGCTGGACCTGTGGGGAAGGCTCGTTCGTTTCATCACTTGAGTCAATGATGATAGTGCAGGAATCGTTGCCGAGATGATTGTAATGGTTGTGCTTTGAGTTCCTTTGGTTATATCTGGTATCACTAAACCACTTTTTGATCTCCCCTTTAGTCAGGCCTGTAATTTTCATGAGTCTAATGATCTCCGAATCAAGAGGAAAGTGATTTTTAAGGTAGCTGTTCTTTAACTCTGTCAGCTGCTCCTTCGTTTTCTTTGCACGGACTCCAACCGTGTCAATATTGGCCGCGGCTGCCACTACCTCAGATTTGGTAAGTTGAGGGGCTGGAACAGCAGCTACCTGCTTGGTTTCAGTAACTGGCTGTGTAGCCTGGACCTGTGCTTTCTGCAGCTGCGCTTGATTTGGGACTCCGGCCACTGTCAAAGCTATTGGGGCTGTCACAGGAAGTGCACCAGTGCCTGCAACTTGTGTAAGAACAAGGCCTGGCTGGCCAACAATTTGGCAGGTTTGCAGAATGGAAGGCAAGCTGTTGCCAGCTGCCGAAATGTGTGCCGGAATGACTGTAATTGTCTGAGGGACAGTATGCACAGTGCCATTGAATTGCTTCCTTCTTGCTTCTTCTACTTCTTCTGGTGTCCAGCTGACTCCATGTTTCAGCCGCTGGGCAGAGAACCAGATTTTTATCTGTTCCTCAGTGTATTTAGCTTGTGTTGCTAGTAGTGCAATTTCTGACACAGTTGGGTAAGGAAATTTGTTGTAGGTGTTGAGCAAGAGCGAATTGTTATCCAAAGCAGTGTTGTAGGCTGGAATGCTATTTATAGGGATCAGGACTTTAGAAATTAAGCTGGAGTTCTGTGGAGACGTGATTGTAGTGAGCACTTGTGCAGGCTGAATCACTGTTGTAGGGTTCACAACTGCAGCAATGGCTTCTGCAGATACCGTAGGACTCTTGGTAGAGTCAGAAACTGCAGAGGCTGGCTTTTCTAAGACTTCCTCACACTCTGGGTCAGATTCGGCATCTTTCTCTTCTGTGGGGCCTTCTTCTGCTGCATTGTGAAAGACAGCTATTCGCTTTGCTTCATTCTTGTTCTTCATCATTTTCATAATTGGGGTTTTGCTAATTGAGATGCCCATCAAGTGGCCTTCAGAAGGCTCAAATTCTTCAATTTTCTCCTCTTGCACAAAGCTTCCATCAAATGTTAGATCATTTACTGATTGCTCAAAAATTGTCCGGTTGTTGCGTTTTACCATGGTGAGTTTAAAATTATCCTCTCCAGGGTGATATTTTATATTATGTTCTGAAAGAGCATCATACCTTTTGGTAACAAACTTGCATTCAAGACAGACATAGGAAGAACTTAATACAACATTGGGGTGCTCAGAATCAACATGGAAAGTAAACATATTGAGATCTGGAGTCTGAAATGTACAGTATTTGCATTCATAGCCACCTTCAACTTTTTTATTTTGCTGATTGTCCAAGTCCACAAATTCTCGGGAGTCCTCCTCACTGGACACACTTCCTGCTGGTGTAATCACAGGTGGTTCTTCATCAACATCAGACACCACGTCTGTATCTGGATATGGCTCACTTGCCAGGACCATGCAAGGTGTTGTGGATTTCCGCTTACTGGCCATACCGCTGTGGTGGAAAGACAACAAACTCAACCAGCGTGGTGAATCTTGCCCCTTCAAGCTTTCCAGAAGTGTCTATTTCTAGGATGGCTTTTGGTGCTATGTCAATGCATGATCACTTCTTTACATTTAGCCCCTCAGCAGCATTTTCATAGTGCAACTAAGCAAGATGGCAACTTGCGGTCTGAAAGTTCAAAGAATGAGCAGCAGCACCGGTCACCTGCACTTAAGAAAAAAGAGATTTTTTTTCAGAGAGTTGTTTTTACTGCATGCATCAAACACCTTTGCTCTAGATTATTTCATTCCAAAGGAATATTTCAGCCCTGCACACACACAGACTGGGACGACCTCATGCGTTATATTCAGCAGTGTGATTCTACCAGTATGAATCACCCGGAGCCAGCAGAAGGCGCTTTCTAAACTAAGTGCAAGGGACAAATCCAACTGAAGCTCCACTTGTACCACTGCCTACAGAGCTTGGACTTACAAAATGGTCTGCTAGTCCTTGCACAGAAGGAAAGGGAAGCCGTGCTCCCTTAGGGCAACAAGCCTTTCACTGATTGTATGTTGGATTTAGGCACATGAGCCAAATGCAGTGCATCAGCCATGCAGGGAGGCTCCTTAGGGGCTGAACGGGCCTCTTCTTGTTACTGTTTTCCAGAGACTATGAGGACAGTGGGCTTGCCAAGCACTGGGCAGGCCACTGCACATGGCGGATGGACCGTGTTCACTGTGGCAGGAGAGAAATTGTGCAGGCCTGGCATAAAAGACAGTACACCATACACAAGGTATGACCGAGTGGTCTTCTGCAACATGGTGCCCTCCAAATGTTGTAGACTACAGCCCCCATGATTCATGCCATTCATTAGGTTGGCTGGGGCTGATGGGAGTTGAACTCCACAATATCTGGAAGGCAGCAAGTTGGGAAATGCTGTGATAGGCAAAAGCCTTCAATGACAGCCTTTTACTCTATCAACCTTCAGTTCTCTAAACATTTAACTAGCGATGCCAAGGATGGGCCTGAGACCTTCTTGTTTTCTGGCACTGAGCCATAATCCTTCCAAGTCCATGAAGGCTTCTCTCCCTGCTGAGAGGTTGCCCTCAGCAGTCATTCCAGTGGGCTGCAATATAGGGAGATGAGAAGAGCTGTCATTGTGTCTGCCCTGCTGAAAGGCAGCTACGTTTTTTTTGCTCTCCGCCCCACCCGCCACATCTTCCTATTTTCATCATGTGTTGTGTCTGCTTTAGATTGTAAGTCTGCGGGCAGAGACCTTCTTGTTGAACTGAGTGCGTGAAAGCAGTTCCGAGAGGCATTTTCGCTAAAGGCATACACGCAAATGCTTTACAGATACAAGGTGATGAAGAAATGAGAAGACTTATCTGGGGACACAACAGCAACAACAACTGGAAAGTATCACTTCCTTTTTAATCTGATAAAATATCCTGGTTAACACAAAAGTTGGAAGCCAATGACACACACACTGCTATTAAATCTGGTTTAAATCAAGAACTTATCTCTAGGTTATTCTACTGCCCGTAAACAACTTTTATTATTCTTGAACAAACAAGTTAAGGGCGAAGAAACCTTACAAAAGAAGCTATGTTTCCAATTAAGTTTTACAAGTCTTTTTATAAGGGATGGGAGATTATATTAATATATGCCTTCAAGGAACAGACACCAGGCATCCTTAGAGAGGTCTGCATCTCTACCATCTTAAACTACAGAAAGAAAGACAGTCAAACAGAAAGTCAAGCTGACATAACAGACTAAGAAAACTGCTTCAGCTACTTCGAAATGAGATTATGTTGCTGTTAATATGTCTTCTGCCTTTTAAGGGTGTGACTGTATCTTGGTGGTAGAACTTATATTTGGATATATAAGGTTCTCAAGTGGCTCCAGTTAAAAAGGTCTGGTAGAAAAGCCACAGGAGAAACATCTGAGTTATTCAGACAAAAAAAATGACCTTGTATGAGGCAGCTTCCTGTGTATTTAATTTAAGGCAACCACACAAAATAAACACTTTCGGAGGTTTCCTAATTAAATTACAACTGCTTGATGCCCTGAATGATGCTACCAATCCTGAGTAAGGCAACCTTTAGCCCCCATAAAAGAACATGTCTCCTATTTTCTCAAAGCAAAGCAATTGTTTCAAAGTGGCCATCTGAATCACCACTTCAGCTTGAGCTTACAACCTTGGCTTTAATCCTATCAGCAGTCAGATAAAAGCAAGGCAAATACTAAGGTTTATTGTAAATTCTTGGGGGTCAGGGGCCAAGCTTCTAATAGTATGTGCAATGCCTTGAAGAAAGAGGAATGGTCAGAAGAGAGCTTTTGTTATGCGAACCAAAAACACCTTGGTGAAGATGTACTGACTGCATCTGTATCTTGAAGGAATCTAATTCGAATAATACTTTGGCCAAATTTACTGTTGGGTGGATTCGACAGGTCTTTATCCAAAATGGTTCCTTAAAAGTTCCAGACCAAATTGATGAGACATTTATATCACGTTACCAGGGCTATGTCAAGGCCCAGTATTCCTTTGGTACAAAACGGGTGCAGGCAATCCTGACACATTTTCCAGGTAACACTAAACTGGGAGAGACAAAAAATACAAGCCCTCTTTCTGGGTCACAGTTTATGCCATTACTATCAAGTGTATTGGGAAAGTAGGGTTGCTTGTTGTCTCCTTGATGGTCTCAAGTCCTGGAATCTAAGTCCTGTGGAATATTATTTTTTTTCAGACTTTTTCTAGGTCATAAATAACCAATGACCATGAATATAAGGCAGGCCCACATTCAGCAGAAAGAGGGTAAAATTGTAGGGTTAAAAAAAACCTTGTACAAGTAGGAAGCTAGCACACCAAAGGTTCTAGCTGTGACTTTTGCAAATCCTTTTTTTTAACAGAGTGGAGCACTAAAACAAACAAACATGCCATAACTGCTGTTTGAAGAGGTGTAGTTGCGTCCACCATCTTATTCTTCCCCATCTGAACTCTGAGACATGTGTGTATAGGAAAATTGGTTAGTCCAAATAAAAAAGTGAGATCATTACTTTGGTAAACTTGTTTTCATGGATGAATTGCCAGCTCTTAGTCAGTGAGCAACTTTTTTTCTTAAAAAAAATCCACATCACCAAATGGTGTACAGGGAGAGTAACACAACTACAGATGTAATGATTTCTACTTACGCAAAAGGCAATGACTGGATTCAGACAACACAATAAGGCACAAGCAAGGACTGAGTGTAGATAATTGATGAAACATGGACTGTTGTTGGACTATGAGTCACCTTGTTTTATGAATCCAGTCCATGTCTCATATTTTTATTTTGCAGCAGTCTGTGTCAATGTCATTCTTCGGTGTCAATTTCACCTGCCTTTCGTACTGTTCCTTGTATGTAGACAAGGTCATCATGTTAAGCTTTGGAAGGAAGGGAAAACAGAAGAAAGTATTTCCAAATGGAACTGGCACAAAGTGCCTGCTTCCTTTGCATTCTGTGGTTAGAGCGTCCAATCTCTCCGACAGACACAGTCCAGAGAAATTACTTCAAAACTGATTGGGCTTCAACCCCAAAGGCCAGTCTGTGCTTTGGCCAAGTAAAGATGACACATATGACTAATTTGAGAGATCATGGTGCAATCCAGTGCATGTTTAGACAGGGAAAAGACCTGTTAACTCCCAGAATGCTTCCGCCAGCAATGCTAGCTTTTCTGCATGCGTATTTGCACCTTAAATATGTAAGGTCTACACTCACGTATCTAAAAGGCAAAGTATTTTGGAAACACCAGAAGTCGCCTTCTATCAGTTCTAACAACTTGTTATTCAAGCCCACCTGGCAGTCCATCCACAGAATCTTTTAAGTGAGGATGCCAGTGACTGAACCTGGGAAGCTTTCAGCGTAGAAAGCATGGACTATGAGCTAGTTTCTTTCCTTTTCCAAATTGCACATTTTTGTTAGCTCACGCGCAGGGAAGCCTGCATTGTATCAGCCTGCACACAGGGCACTGAGGTGGGGCAAGGCTGTAGCAGTAAAGGGCCTGTTTTACATGTAGGTCACAGGTTCAGACCTCAGCATCCACATGTGAAAGGATCTAAGGTGGCAGGCAATGTGAAATACCCTCCCAGAGATCTTGGAACATTGCTGCTTCCAGGCAGAATAATCCAGCTAGAGTTATAAACTGAGAATTTATGAAGTAGCTTACATTGTCCACTCCTATGGGGTTCTTCCATATAAAGTAGCTTATGCTGTTCACTCCTATATGGGGTTCTTCCATAGTCTCCCTGCTTCCCCAGTCCTTGAGTTCTTAGTTCTTGGTGTTCTTTCCTGAAGTTCCCAGCCTCCACCTCTCCTCTGGTCAACTCCATCACCATCTGCATGCCCGTTCTAACTATTTCTGTTTCCAATCACCACTTGATAACTCCATCATTCCTTCCTGCTGGACTCTCTTCCCTCTCAGCATTGCAGCTCCGTGATCCCCTTACCTCTGCGATGGAGTCCTGAAAAAAGTAACACAATCCCTAGATACCAGATAAGGCTTACTTTCGGAGCCAAAGACATGTTTATGGGTTCAGATGACAGGATAAGGCACCCTACCCAAAATGCACCTGACAGATGATCAGGAGTATCATGGATAGGCTGTCCCCTCCCTCTCTCCTTGGTTCTTTGTGACTTCCATAGGTGTCTATTTTCCTTTGTCACACAAGATGTATAAACCCCAGTATCACAGTATTTAAATGTATGCTTTCCTTTATATTATTGTAATAGAACTCATTTTCTCTTCATATTAATATAGTTTGAGCCAGAAAATGAAAGACAGAAAGAAAAATGGGGTAGAATAAATGTAGCATGGTGCAGAAAACTTCAATAAATCTACTATCTGTGTAGCTACATAGATGTCACAGCAGACTTCTGACTTCTGAAAGTAAAATCCACAAGTCTTTTTGTTTTTTCACACAAATGTAACAAACCAAAAACAATGGACTAGAAGTCAGCAAATGTTGTATCCAAAGTCTAAGGAATATATAATGAATCATAAAAATGTTATTAAAATACTGCATAAAAGTTAATCATTCAAAAGGAGTTATTTTAGCAACAAGTTAAGGAAGACCACTTATTTGTTATGTCAAAGATGTTAATCAAACTTGTTTGCAAGAAGAGAAACACCAAGCCAATGTCAAACAGGCATGGATTTCAGTGTCAATCTTGCCTGGGTTTCTTGAGGGCAAACAAGTGACATTGTTCCAATGTGTGTACCACTTTTGTGAACTCTACATGTGCTAATCTTACAGAAAATGTTGCTTACTGATATTGCTTATTAATGAACTCAAAAATTTAAAGTTTACACCACTCTCACACAAT